AGAGAAAGAGAGAGAGAGAGAGAGAGAGAGAGAGAGAGAGAGAGAGAGAGAGAGCGCGAGCGAGCGAGCGAGCGAACGCAGTACAAACTATTTTATAATAGGCCCCAGGTGTGTAGTTTATTGAAGCAAGTGGACTTCGATTGAAATATTTACTCTTTGAAAACAGTGTTTTCGCTTGTATGTTTCTGGTAATTAGGCTGATCTCACACAGGAAATACGCGGATGTGTGTCGCGCTGGCAAGCCTAGAATTCAGAAACTAATGTGTAACGGTGTCACGCGGTAGTAGTGACACGGTTTGCGGTGGAAGTTCCTTACACTAGGGGTAAATGTGTGGCTCGGTGTGATTGGCTCCAGATGGAACATCACACGCCACTTGTCCACTGCACTGTCCGATATTGCCATGGTAACCGCGCAGACTTCCGCACACCCCCAAGGACATGAGCAATGAGCGCCTGCGTGGCTACCATGGGCATCTCCGGATGCGCACACTGGGCTTCATGCATGCTCTCCACGCTACCAGGGTGGACGTTGGATTCACCGATGGTTCCACCAGCAAAAATAATTGTCTTAATTAAGCTATAAGGCACATACTATACCGAAAGCTCAGCTATGGGTGAACACTGTTTTAAGTGAGCTTAAGTAACTCTGTGCAGTTGTGGTATAAACCACTGAATTCGATCACAGTGTGCTTATGTCTGGTTACCAGTCTGTTTCTACAGCTGATCACGAAGTCAGAACCTTATTGACACTGAGCTCGTTCAAGCAAAATGAGAAGGAATGGGCAGAGGTCGAAATGGGGATGTGTGCAAAGGTTTTGGAAAAATTAATACGTTTGTTGGATTTTGAAAATTTTTAGTTAAATGTATTCGGAAGTCCAGGTGCGAGCTTTTGACTGCCATTTGCGAGAGGTTCAGGGAAGTTACTTTGAATGGAGGCACGTGTGTTGGCGTTGTGTGTTTGGTGCCGTGACGGAGTGAAACAGGAGGTATTGGTGTCTACGGCAACAGCTGTTGCACCATCTCGCATCAGTGGTAAAAATCGAAGCTAGATATGGGCAGAAAATGTCCGATTTTGACACCAGCTGGCATAGTAAATGGCAGGAGTGTGAGGTATTTCTTTTTGTGAATGTACCTGGTGTCGAGTGGAAGTTTCTCCTCCTGAAATCGTTCATCCTTTTTTTGTATCATGCCTTGCGAAAAGTAGTATATAACGCCAAGACGAAGTTTTGAAATGATGAAAATAAAAAAAATCATGTTATAAAAAATAAATACGCTAATTTTCCTTTTTTATATCTTCTCCATTATAGGCGATCAAAGCAAACAGTATGTAGAATGTATCTGTGTAGATCGGGATTACTGAGTTAAACGTTGCCATATGTTCTGATGGTCTCTCTCTTTGCTTTAAGAATGTCGCTGAAGGACTCGATTCTCCAGTCCCTGAGACCCACCCCGAAGCGTCTGTACGAATCGTCAGTTTGCCTGGCCTCCTGTCTGAAGAATCACGAGGAGGCAAAAGGTCCCGGCACCAAGACCGACCACGATGGCGTCAGCAGCGGGAGCGCCTCAGAGCCCACCGAGAAGCCGACCCTGGCCGCCATGGCACGGCACTACAAACTCGGGCAACTGCTCAGGTCCTTGGCCCCTCTCATTGTCGTTCAGGAACGGCTTTACCGGCGGCTGGAGGAGAGACCAGACGTAAACGCCGCAGCCAGGAAGACCTTCCCTGAGCTGTTCCAGGTTATGGATATTGTACGTTTACACCCTCATGTGTCGATTTAGCCTAACCTTTTGTCGCAGTCGGGTTGTATGGTGTTCTGATGCGGACAGGCAAACGTCGTGTGTGTGTGTTTGAACGTCGTGGTTGTGAGTTTGAACGTCGTGTTTGTGAGTGGCCAGGGCCAATTTCATGGATCATTAGCATGATTTTTCTCTCTTGATAAGAACAGGATTACCAACCAAAACGTTCATGTGTTGTATATTACTTGTGACAGGTGCTCAGCTGGTGTTCGCTTATCATAAAAATGACATGGATTTTTGGCTGGTAACCTGTTTTTCCTGAACAAGACGATACCGTACTAAGCAAATTTTTGTGCTTAGCAGCTTCATGAAATTGGCCCTGACCACTCACAAGCACGCCGTTCAAACTCACCCTCGCTCAAACACGCACACGACGTTGGAACTTAAAAACACGACGTTCGAACTCACAAACACGACGTTCAAACTCGCACACTCGATGTTCGCCAGTCTGGGATATCATATCCTTATGGTTATTCCTATTCCAGTTCTACTTTAATTAAGTACGAGCAATTTGATTTCATCAACCCCAATTTCAGGCACGTGAATGCTATTTGAGAGTAAAACTTACACAAAAATTCCGCACAGTGCGCACAGAACGTCTCTATTGACGTCGTTCACTTCCTGTGATTTTTTTCTATCCATAATCTTTATCGTAAGGCCTTGTAAAACGACTATTGACCTCTTTTGTCTACGGCTATTCTGTGAAACGACTATTGAGCTCTTTTGTCTACGGCTATATTCTGTGAAACGACTATTGAGCTCTTTTGTCTACGGCTATATTCTGTGAAACGACTATTGACCTCTTTTATCTACGGCTATATTCTGTACACCGTGGTGTGCTATTCTTTATTGCAAGGCCTTGTATAAAACTACCATTAATCTGTGTTGTCTGCGGCTAGATACATGTACTTCTGTTTACTTTGGTGTGCTTTTGGCAACAAAATGGAACTAGTGTGAAGACGTGCGTGGTTCACTGTGCCAAGTCAAACCACGGATCATTCGGTCAAACTACGCTCGTAAGTCGTAGCCAAATAAAGTAGTACATGCACGGGCCACACCAAGCTCGTTTTGTCTTTCATCTACTCATTCACGACAATTTCCTTCACATCTTCAGGAATCCAGGACGATCCTGAAAATCTCCAGTGATTTTTCCGTGGAGAAGGAGGATCGATACGCCATGGAAGCCAATCTGAACCTCCTCAGGGAGTCGGTGGTGAGGATCACAGAAGCCCTTCAGACGGTGCGAGAGGCCCAGTACGAGAGTCCTGGTCGATTGAACAACAAGCTTGCGGATACCGTAGACGCGCTCCGTGTGGACTGGCACGCTGTCCAGTCGATACGGGCCAGCTTACCGGAGCGGTACCCGCTGGACTACGAACAGCTGCACGAGAAGTCGTCTTGAGAAAAAAAAAACCTAATATGGCCCGTTTACACACGTGCGTGGTAACAGAATTTCTTGCTGTCGAAATTTACATATAGAATAAACGATGTTCTGTTAGGTGTTTTACATTCAGAGCTGACAAATCGCGCGGTCGCTCGATAAACTGCTGTGGTTAGAAACCTGAGCGATTTTTTTCCAAAGACACCGCGCTTAGACTGTCTGTTCTGGCCAATCAGCGCTCTCGATGGGTATGACGTCACAGGCTGGCTGCTAGTTCTAAGATGTCGTTTGTGGAATATCATTAACATAAATACCCACCGGGTTTCCGCCCCCGTGTAAACGTAAAATATCGCTCGACATTACCGCTTTCCGTCACAGCGCGCATGGGTAAACGGGGCTTTAATCTACCGCATCGAAGTGGTGGATTTGCAGCACGCTTTACTTGCGGGAAATTACGGTACGGCTTGTGCAATAGCAAAAAAAGTATTTCAGGTGTGTCGATCCATCAGCTTCGACCATTTTCGTAGCATTAACGAGGAAATCGTTTCAGATTTCGACAAATACCCACCACACCAGCAAATGAAAAATTGTTTAGCAAACTTTCTAGAAAATCATATTTGATAAGTATTTTAAAAATCTTTTCCTTTCATGTGCGTAATGATAAATGTTTTCAACTACCGTTTTATATTTTTACAGGGGGCGATAACTACATAAGAACGTGACCTGATAAATAGAATACTATGGAATCACATGTGTCTTTTGCAGTTTGATATAAAATCTAAATTAATAAGAAAAGTGTCTCTTAAACTGACAAACTTAATACGGAAATTTCTTTTACATCAGTAATAAAAATAACATAAATTCTCGCCAACTGTCGTAAAAACTACTCGTGTGCTTGAAACAAACAGGAACCACTATTTTTCCAAATGTGTTCATGCCATTAGTCTCTTGTTATTCGGTCCCCCTTTTGATTAGTTGGACGTCTACAGTTATGGCTTGTCAGGACTGTTTCGTAGTTACGGTTCAAGGCTGCCACCTTCCTTGTTACGCGCACATGTATATCATATCATGTTGTCGCCAGACACTGCAGTGTAGCGCTAACCAATCTTAAAGGGTATTTTGAGAGATGTAGGGCACTGACTACGTCGTCAAAGGCACTTCAGGCACGATACCGTATACGATATTACGTCGAAACTGAGCCGGTAGTCTGACCCTGCAGCTGAAGTCTCTTGGTCGTATGCACGTGGCCGTTTGTAGATTGTACAAAGGGCGTGAATTTGGATCGCATGCCGGGTTGTGAGGTTTTTCCCACAAGTTACCGGAAGTTGGGACGTAAGTTTATTGTTTAGTCGATGGGGAAAAACAAATTAATCACATTGTCCATGTAATCGTGATGGTGCAGGTTGGTTTCCATAGGGCCGACTTTAACTCACAGTTGGGCATTATTGGTGTCAATGACTCTATGATGTATTGTGCACGTATAGGGTATGTGTTACCAAGCAAGCCATTTTGTCGCAATTGGACATGTCAGTACAATGGTGGACCTGTTATGAAACAGCAACGCTGAGGCTACATCAAAGGCGAAAATTAACATATCTAACGGGGGGCGATTATTTCCTTAGTAGTGTGCACTTCGCATCGTCCAACAGGTGTGTCAGTAATTGGAAATTCACACAGTAAAACCTTCCTGACCTTTCAGAATATTAAATCCCCAGTTATGGTGTGCAATGCACCATATGGTTCGTTGCCTTTATTGTACATTTCACTCATATTGTCAACGAATCAGGAATAACGAAAACTCAGTGTTGTGCGCATAGGCCCACAACTACAAGCCCAGAAACCTGCACAATTTCGATCTTCAGTTTGTCCTTGCGTCTGTGTACACAGAGTGAAATGAAGGCTGAAAACCTTCAGAAAAGAATGGATCGGCGATTTTATGACCGCGGACCGAGCAATTAAATCAGCCAGCCAATAGGATAATTGTGTATAGGTCAGGCAACTGTCCAAAAAAACGACCGCAAAGCAGACAGTACTGCGCCTTTTAAAAAGCAAACCAAGATCGAACTTGGTAAATCAAATTATCGTCAAAATTAAAAGGCTTGCAATCTTGATAAAGTCATATCAAAATACTGCATCTGTTCGTGCTTGTGCCACTCATAATAAGTGACACCGTATTAGCTTTGTTTATTATTTCTTTGTTACCTTTATTATTAGCTTTGTTTATTATTATTGGAAGAAGAGTATCAACCGACATATTATATTCCGTAAATAATGAACCACTCATTTGAACTGTATGATTGACCTGTCGTCGTTTGCGAGTTGGCCATGCACGCCCCTTACACAACCCTATGGAAATTTGTGCGTTGAGTTTTGCTTGAGATTATGCGCCTCCCAAACCCAGTATGTACATGTACTTCATGTACACGTAAAGCTGAGTTAACGCAATTCCGCTGCGATGGGTCAATTAAAATTCCAGGGGTGCACCACTTCAAATAGATTCCCATAGACAACAATGATGAATCCCCTCACTTCACAATTATTTTAGAAATACAACTCTCACAGGTGTCCAGGCTGCACCGAAATACGATGATCGACATGTCCCCCTTTCATTTTCCTTTCAATTTTCGGGGGGGGGTTGACCAATGAATTTTTGAGAAATTTTAACCAAAAGTAGACCAACCCTAAAGTGAAGAAAATGTTCCTGCCCAGAAAAGTAGCCATTTCGAAAAGCATCCCTCTGCAAAACGGCCAAATAGTGCCACTTTCGGACCCGACTGCACCCAAATTGCTCAGAATTGGAAGCCCAAAGTCCGGGCCAGAGGTTCAGTGTCATATTGCTCCAATTCCTCAATCTCATGGCTCTCAGGACTCTCTAATATAGAATATGTTGAGTGTATAACTTTTATTAATGAGCTTGGCGGACATATCTTGGACCTTTTTGCAGGGGTGCACCCATAGAGTTATATCAACTTATAAGAGCACTGACCTCTCCGCGTTGGCAGTAGTAGCGCTCTTGCAATTTAATATACTTGTAGATGTATATGCATCGAGCGTGAATTGTACCAGTAGTAATGCACAAGGCGCCTAGCAATCTGCTCTTCAAGATGACCTCTGCGGAGCCGATGGTTCTCCTGGTACATGATAAGCAGTGGAACTAGTTGTCAAAGGTAGTGACACATTATCTGGATCATCAGCAAGCGATATAACCACAAAAGATCGAGGAAGCAAAGGCTTCTTGTCAACACGACCCTTTTGATCATAGTTTGACACAATGTAAATATCATATCACGATTTTGAAATATCACTGTGTTAAATTTAAATCAGCTGGTTTGACTTTGAAAAGGGATCAAATTATCATCTATTTAGAAAAATAACTGTAAAAGTTTCTTATAAATTGTCAGAATAAAACCGTAAGAGATGCTACGCCGGAATTAAACCAGTTTTTATTCTAAACTGTACGTCTTCCTACTCAAGAGCGTTGGTCATTTTCCTTCACTTGAGCAAGAAATGAAACCCATTGCATGTTTGACATTGTTTGCAAAAACAAAACACACACACACACAAACAAAAACAAAAAAACACGCCAATATTTCCATTCAACTGCATAAAATATCGTCTGTATTAAAGGCACTTTCTTTTGCCTGAATCAAATGAAGCTACGACAGTAGAGTATAGCACAGTATATTACTCGCATCTTTTCAGTTTTTCTTGTTTTTCCAACAGGTTTTGACATTTTGTAAATTTGTGAAAGACAGCGATGTATTCAAACCTCGGGCATGAATCTGACATATTTGTTTTTAATCAGTGAACATTTGCCAGCGAGACATGATAAAGGTTAAGCTTTTAAAAGCATTGCAACGGGACGAAATGATTTATCGAGGCAGCAGAAATACAATTAGGTAGATAGGCCTATGCTGGTAGTTGACTGAGGCCTTGCAACGCGCGAGTCACCAAAGACAGTCGCAAGAACCCGTTCGTTCAACTTTCTGCTGGTACTGTGCAAGTGCAAATTACCTGAGTCGACGGTGTCTGGCTGGGTCGGCTTGGCTTGGTTGGCTGGCGCTCTGGCAACACCAACTGTTGATTTTTGACCTCCATTTTTCCTTTCAGCGGCGGATATGGGGACGGGGAGTCGAACTCCCTCCCTGCGCTGAGCCCCCCCCCCAAAAAAAGGTTAAAAAATTGGGGAAAATAATAAAAATCAGTAAGTAAATGGACCAATAACATTATAAACAATGTATCTCGCGTAACCTTTCAACATTGTTTCATCTTGTCCACAAAAATGAGACTTAAAAAACTTCAGGCCTGACCCCCCCGAAAAAAATCCTGGTTTCGCCCCTGCTCTTTCTCCAAAAAAGGGCACTGTTGCAACTATTGGCAACTGCAGTTGGGTTCTTTTAGAAGTCTACCAAATATACTTTAGAGAAAAAAAAATGTACGGAAAGCGTACAGTAAAACCAGGTACATGTAGAGTGCAATGAGTAATCGGGCCGAAACTGACTGTGGAAAGGCAATGACCCGAAGCCCAGATTTGGAAAATGACTCTAGGTATCGGCCTGTTGTTACCGGAGAGGGCGCCCTTTTAGAAATATGAACGGTTACAGGACATTGAATAAAGCTACAGACTAGTAAAACTACTTGCAAGAGACGACTTTTCTGGTGAAATTTCTCCACGATAACCACTAACATTAGTCTGGGGTACCACCACCACTACAAAAAAAAAAACAGTCTCTCAAAAAACAGCCGTCCAAGGGTCCCGTTTTATAAAATCTTCGAGTTGTCAAGTTCATAGTAACACTTACAGTCATTTCTGCGCTCATTAACGTGTCAGTCTGAATATCTCTGTGGGCTTTTTCACTTTCAGATGAAAACAAAACCTCGTTGTTACTGTTAGCCTCAGGGTTGATGTCAAAGGGCATTAAGGTTGAAAGAAACAGACAAAACAAATAAACTTTAAAATGAATAAATGCCTTCAACATGACTGAGGGTTTAATCTTGGACTTCGCCTTTCAAGTAGACACTTAATTCACTTAAATTCAAGGGCTTTCTCTGCGACATAATTACCAAGATGCTCTTATACAGTACCATTTGTGAACTTCCAAGTTTAAATTCGACAAAAAAATACACCATGTAATCTCACTATGTACAAGTAATGCTGTCAATGGACAGAACATATAATATTAAAATGCTGCTTTTGCCTTCTGATTGTCTTCAATTACTGATTGCTAAATGGAATGTTTAAGTTGTCTAAAGACAAGTTCTGCAACCGACAATTCCAAACACACCACTGTTTAAATCACTAACATGATCTTTATTCTAATTGCTAGCCACGCTTGTAGTTTCAGCGTCAGTAGAAATCTCTTTTACTTCCAGCGTGTGTCTTTTAAACTCATTTTGGGAACCTTCTCAGGCCAACATACTTTCTCCAAAATGCCATAACTGTGCATCCCATACACGTGCAAAGCCCGCTCTAAGTTTCACGGCCTAACCGATTAATTGAGCGCGACAGGTTAACCGGTTGATTTCATGTCAGTATTATGAGCTGTATGAAATATTGCCTTCCTGTGGAGAAACTCAGATTGGATAACGGTACGATGGAAAAGAAAATTGCAAGAAATAAACAGCGGCGCAAATGTGCCTGATTTTTAAGTACACGACAGCTAGAATACGAAAGGTGAGAACATTCAACCGGCTTACGATCTTTCTGGGTACAAGGAAATCATTCATACAATATAAACCTTGAACGAAACTGTAATATGACATAAATCTAATCAAAACTCAACCTCCTTGATAATAGAGTCACCATCAACATTATAACAAGACTTTTAATTGCTGGGTTTCGCCCATATACATCAGCGTATATTCCTCGGTAAAATCTCTAATTAAATTTACCACCTCCCCGACACAAAGTGCTTCTTGAAATAACAAGATTTGTTAATTCCAGGGGGATTCCAGAACCAAATTTATAAGAGGACCAAACTCGGTATAATTAGCACACATTAGCTGCATGCTCTCTCCATGAACAGCTCTGTGAAAGACTGATCAGGGGCGCCGTCATTAAAACTGCAGTGGCACCACACTCGCGCGCGCGTTCTTAACATTGGCACACGCGCATTTTAAACACGTCTGACACCCTACAGGCGGAGGTGGCGTGTAACGCACGCGCGTACCACCTGTCAGCAAGTATGGCGACGCCGCAGCAATGGCCTCTGAAATGCGGCCATCACTTTGTCTCAAACCATTTCAACGGCAGTGACTTCACTTTTCCATGGGCAAGATTCTATGAGTGCGTTCCTGAATGCCGTCGCCTTTGTGGCAGGAAACAAAGGCGAAGGCCGCTTCATACTTCAGTCGAACGCGAAAGCGAATCGAATTGGACGACACGCAGTAGTTCCTACGAATGAGTTGAAATTGTGTTTTAATTTCGAAAATTCGAAGCAAGAATAGTGATCCGACGTCATGACTCTGAGTTCATATTTGTTTTTGCTTCAAGTATGAACCAGCCTTCCAGCGATGGTAAACAGGCTTTGTAGACAGGTCATTCGATGGGTTTAGCTCCACACAAAGCAGTTGTGAATTACTAAAAAACAATTGGAATGCTCGTTTGAATTTCTTCATGAAAGCGCTGTATCGCTTTTATGATGGAGATCTTCCAGCTCTGGGGGTACACTGTCCTTGTCAATTCTTGCATTCTTGAACTGTTCGTCCTGATAGCTGACATCAAGTTCCTTCACGGCCTATCACTGTATCGAGCAGACTTTCGATATGGAGCCGCCTGCGTGCTTCACCATGGTACTGCGGAAGATCTCCGACTTGCCTATCTTCATCTGCAGCATTGTGGAGACGCCTAGGTACTCGTAGAAATCCACGGAGCCAGACTGGTCCACGTCGATCTCGACCATCGCTTCCTGTACAACAAAAAATACGAGGATTCGAAATACCTGTCTGTCAGTGACTGTGCTTTAGAGGCCCGAGCTGGACCAAGAGAGGGCGCAAGTTTCCAACAACAGAGGCTACGGCGGGGGGGGGCGAACTGCACTTCGCTGATTCACAAGCGACTATGAAATGTGCACTTTTACGGTCGCGTCGCTACCACCAAAATAAATACTCCCTGCTAACCCGACTTCTTTAAACCGACGAGGGGGTGCATCTGCACAAGGCAAATTCTCCGTCGGAATGGTTACCATAGTCACTAGGACCAGGCGCATCAACGCGTAACTGACATGAACTTTACCCAGACCATTGGAAAAAAGAGCCGAAAAGAGCTAAACCCTGTTGTCCTGTCTGCGCGTTTGCTTACCTTGATTTGTCTCGGTTTGTAGTAATCGGCCACCGTAGACTGAATCGCCTGTGTCATTTCCGTAAAGTCGAGGTTGTAGTCTCCATTCGTGTCATACTTCTTGAACTGCTGATAGTGTTCTCGTATCTGTGGGGAAACGAAAACAGGAAATTATGAAAAATCGTTCGCTTCTGCAAAACGGAATCCTCGCCCCTTTTCATAAGCTTAATTGCGCAAGGCCATTAAGACACGAGTACCAGCTAATTTTGGAATAAACTTGGACATACAGCGTTTAATGCTTTTATTATCGTAATATTAATTTCACTTTTATATTCTTACTCCTAATTTCACTTCTCTCAGCGTCTGGGCTTTGCTTTAAATTTTCCAGCTTTCTGCATCTACGCTGCACCCAACGCTACTGTCAGTCAACCCTTTTAAAACCAAGGCACCGACTTACAATGCATAGCAAATCCACACGCTTGGCATATCTCAGGTAATTTTGTTCAATGTTTCTTACCTGTTCCTCCGACATGTGCGGGAAGCATGTGTGGGCAGTAGCCGCGTCCAGTATCCCTGTCTCCTTATCAATAAGTTCAGGGTGCTCTGTTGGTATTGAACGAAAGGAGGAGCTTTTACCAGGGGGTTTCAGACAGCAAGTCCTACGCCAACGCACAGTAGGCCTGTGGGTTATCCTGAAATAACTACTTCTAAACACGAGAAGTTGTCGATGAAGGCTGCTTCGCCTGAGCTTCTGAACTTTGACCCCTCCCACCTGCGTGGAGTCCTCACTACCTAGTCCACGGATGTCCACATGTGGGGCGGATTTCTTTCTTTTGTGACAACCTCCAGGGTATCCTTCACATGTGCATCTCCCTCTCACACATTACGCTCATGGTCAGTTAGGGCGCCTTTCCATAATTGTTATGTACGTTTTCGGGGTGCGTTGCGTACACGATGCGTTCAGGCGTTTCACTTTCACGGACACAAAAAATCGACTCCATTACCACAACACACATGTGCGTTGCGTTCGGCCGTCAGAATCGCCCCCCCCGGGGGTGGGATCTGACGGATACGCAACGCTTGGTGCAAGTCTTGACGCGCATATGGAAAGGCGCCTTTATTTTGCAAATCTGTATCAACAAAGATTCAACCCTGATGTTGCAAGCAAAGAGTCGAAGCATCACGCTTGCTTCACCCACCAGTGATTACAATTTCTCCTGGTGTTGCTGAAGTCACATTGCTATTTGGCAAAAAGCCAAAAAGTGCGAGGTTCTGCGCATGTCAGGACTGTCAGAATGGGACTAATGTATCTGCGTTTATTAGGATGCGTGAAAGATTGCTTTATTAAATTAAACTACTAGCCCTTTGAAAATGACTGCGCGCTAGAAATCAGGGGTGTAAATATTTTCAATAATCCAAATTTTCAATATAATATTTAGGCATATTTATTATTGTTAAATATATTGTATATATATAATACACTATTTAAGATAAAATAATTATTTAACAACTTGCAAATGATCACAAATGCGTGAACAGATGTCATTAATTTTTTGGGGGGCCCATTTTAACACATTTTAACGAAAACAATAAATACAAATCAGATTTGAATCCATGTCATTTTTTATGTATATTGCTTTTGTGTTGGTTTATGTGCTTTAGGTGATTTACGTAAATCACCTACTGACGGTTTTACAACTGTCAACTATTGGTGGTTTTGATAACACAAGGCTTTTGTTTTGTCGTTTACTTTGCTCATTTATGGTTGCACTGGCATTAGCATAACATGACGTCACTGAGCAGTCACAAAAAGCCATTACAGCAAAAATGCAAAAGCAATCCATAGTAACGGAAACGCTAAAAAATGATTTGCACACAGTACTGATGTTGCGTGATGTTTACTGTTGGTATGGATCCATGGATATAATTCTTTTATGTTACAAAGGTTTCAAAAAGAAAGCTCCAAACCTGTCCCGAAAAACTGCGTTGCGTTAAAGCTTTTATTGTCTCCTCGCTGGTTCCCTGCTTTGTTCACAATGACGTGCATACACGACAACAACACCGCAAAAGCCACAGTGGAGACAGAGGTGAAAATAAAAAAAGAAAGCAAGCAACAATGAAACGGCCCACAATTGCTCTCAAACAGCATGAGCAATGACAAAAACAGCGAATATTATATGCAAATATGTTATTCAATGAACATAAATGAATACAAAGAAATCCACACTTTTTTTCTGTAAAGAAACACACACTGCAATTATGGGACCATGCTCCCGAACAGATTTAGCGCAATCTGACACAGAAAACAAGGTTAACTTCAAAGCGACATTTCAAATCAATCTCGCTGTTTATGTACACATTTTGGCGCCAGAGCTTCCATCATCGAGCAGTAATTTGACTCCAGGAATAGAGTAATTTATTAGTGCGCAACGCACTTCAGGGGCGACTATCGCGACAGAGAATCATAAACATGCATTATAATCACCGATTATGGACAGATTCAGTAAAAATGTTGTTCGCCTGAAGAGGACTAAACTCCCTGAAACATTGGAAGCTCGAATGCGGGAATTAGCAGTATTTTTATTTCAATAGTTCCTTGGACTTTCGACTTTCTGTTTTCCCTGCTGATATAATACCAGCTCCTCCCACTTGGGGGGGGGATTCTAAGCAGATACCCTGAGTCCGTTTTCATTCATTAGTGGTGCCTTCTGAAAAAAACAACTACGTGATGTAGTCGAGTACTTTTCGAGAACCAAGTTTTCTACCAAAACATTTAACTAGTTAGAAGGGAACAAAGCTGAAGTACATCAGCATTTGATGGTACATGCATAAAGGTAAGATTACAAAGCAACATAATGACTTCAGACCATCACTGTTTGATTAAAATTAACTTTTTAGGACAAAATTACTCGGAAAGTACTCGGCCAAGTACTTTCCGAGTACTTTTCTCCTTAAAACTTATATTTTACACAACTGGGAGTGTCTGAAGTCTAACATTTATTTTGTAATCTTACCCTTGCACATTTACAATCAAATGCCTGTGCACTCTGCCTTTATTCCCTCTTCGTCTTACCCAGTTCAGTATTTTGCAGAGAACGTTGGTACTCAGAAAGTACTCGACTACAACACTTAAAAACAGGACTGGACTGCAAATAAGTCCCCCTCGATGTGATTCTTACCTGCAACTTGAAATGCTATTTGACACATAAATCACTTCAAAATTTCCTGATTTATTATTATGAAAAAGAAATCGGTTTCAGTAGTAGTAATTGTTTTCTAGGAAAGAGCACAGGATTGCAGTGTCGCAGAGGTTAGGAATTGGCAACTTCGCTGCAAGGCAAGAGCGATGATCTTTCATAGCGAGCTTACTGTAGAGTTTGCTATGCCGGCTCATTCCCAGATGCACGCGTGTGAAGGAGTTTCACTTTGCCACACGGCTTGCTTTTGCCACGCATAATCGAATTATCTTTGTGAAATGAGTTGAGGTCGCCAACGCGAATGCAGAGCTTTACTGACGTAACGACACGCACGGAAAAAAGGGCTCATGGCAAAGTAATCAAATCAGAGGGCCTCATGAATACGGAATTGGCATTGGTGCAGAGTTATGCGGGATCGAATGAGCATAATGCGGTCCGTGAAAGAATAGGGATCGGCTTTTTAATGCATCGCCAGATGCGACCAAACGGGATCAATGCATATACATGTACAATGTATAGAACGCAGCTCCATAATATACAGAGGACGTTATAATGACCGGATGCAACAAAGTTTACTCTTTTTGGTATCTTGGTTTAAATTCTGAAGAAAAAAAAACAACGAAGGGGCTTGTCTTTATGTGAGCACTTTAAGGGTTCATATTAATAGCTATAGATTTACACTTCGCAAGATTTGTTGAAAGGCCTTTAAAGCCTTTGAAAAAGGTCTTTTAACTTCAGGGTTAAAAATGATCTTAGCAATCTCTTTATGATAAAATTGTTCTTCATTTTTTTGTATTCATGACGATGTAACACAACCAGAAAATGACTTAAACAACTTCAACCCAGGTCTGACGGTTCAGACACAAATGGCAATCCCGGCATTCCATTTGTACCTCCAGGCTTTCGGATTTCTTCTTGCTTTTAACGATGGAATGTTAAGACACAAGTCAACATGCAATGAAAAACGAACAAACAAACAAACATATGGAAAGGCTCCTGGTTTTGCATTTTTTTTGTTTTGCGGGTCTTGTTACAGGCTTTATAGCATTTTTGGCTTCATGCGCACGCACTGGTGGCGAGACAAATTTGGCACATGTCTCAAAAAGTTAACGTCAACAAACAGCAAAATGTGATGACATGAACGTCATGTTAATTTCAAGCTCACCACATAACACGATCATCAGCAGACAATGGTAGGAATGACGTGGACGATTTTTTTGACAGCTTTTAACTTTTTAGCACATGGCACTTGAAAACCGAAATGAACAAATGAAAACGTATCGTCAGATACCTTTCTCAAGGTGGAAGTCACCAGATCCAGTCAGTGTACTCTTGGCCTGAGGCTTGCCGTCTTGTGAGGTGCCGTCCTCCTTGGAAGCGCCCAAGCTCTCGGTATCAGCTTTGAGTTTACCGGACCCGCGAGCTTTCCGGGCTGACGCCATCCCGTTCCGCCCGCCCGGACTCGCGCTTCTGGAAGGCTGGCGAGGCGCAGGCAAGAGCGTCGCCCCAGTCGGCTCTCTGGGACTGACTGACGGCGGTCTGGCGAGACTTGCCAGTTCCGGGGGCACGGGTGAAGACACGGCACGCCGCCTGCGCAGGGAGGGACTCCGTGCGCTCTCGGGGATCGACGTGGCGCGGTGGTTTCGCGTGAGGTTCGGGCTCCTCCCGGAAGGGCTCGTGCCCGAGCTCGGCGTTTTCGGCGCCCCGAAGCCGCTCCTCGGGGATTTGTGGATGAGACCGAACTCCTCTACGGAGATCTTGGCCCTGCCCGAAGGCGGTGGCCTCCTCGCAGACACCGCCTGTCCGTTAACGGACGAGGACTCGATGAGCGGCATCGTCGACGATCGGCTGAGAGACGAGAGAGCGGGACTGGAGTTTGGGTGGGGTAGGTCTAGGGACATGAAGCGACGAGGCGTTTGATTCGGACTCCCAGGTGGACTGGACTTAGGTGACGCACATGGGGAATCCCCGATTGTCTCAAGATGTCGACTGATGACGGGAGCGAGTATACTGAGAAATGAAACAGGGTGCATTGCATTGATAACAATTCTTAAAATTATTTCTAAAAAATTAATACTTTTGAATTTTAATTATTTCTAAAAATAATTATACAACATGCAGCGAAACCTAACAATTACATGCATATTAATTTCCTTCAGTGTTTGTCTTTTTCATAAGAGGTCCAACCTTTCAAACATAATTTGAGTAAAACTGCAAAAATTTACCTCGGTCTGGTCATTCTTTTGGCTGGGTGTGCCACAATATCCTGCCAAAAATGAAAAAAAATGATTAAGCCACATACAAATAGGGCAGCACAATCAACATTCACACAACAGCCGTCATCTGACCACGTGGCTTTGTTATAACTGCAAAATTTGGTTGGAGTGACGGAATGATTCACAATTCCCTCAATCATAGATCATTGTACCGCGCAGCCCCGCCAATACTTCTCGCTTGCACAGTACCGCCGTATCCGTGCGCGCTGATATCACCACTGATTTTTCTGAGCTCTCATAGGGTACCGAAGTGAATACGTCACGCGCGCAATTAGTGTGTAAAAGGCATGAGCGCGTGAACCAGCGCGTGAACCAACACGCACGGGTACTCCATTCGTTTGCACTGCACTTTCTGGTTCACAGTGACGTCACACTTCGGTTCTATTGGATGGCCCTTCTTTCACTGGTACTGTGGTCAACAGCCTTGCGTGCGCACGGAGGAGGTGCGCTGATTATGGCGGTATTTTACCCAGAACGCCTCGCGTTTTCCTCATCAAATTCCGTGATTTTACAAGGCCAGCAGTATTCGAGAAAACAAAAAATGTCGCAAAGAGGAAACTAGACGATTGGCCTAGTCTGATCCGATACGCTTTGCCATTTAAAACATCTTTCTGTAGGATTTTTTAGGGACTCGGTTGGACATTACTTCCCGATTCGCCAGGTTGATGGACCAGAAAAACTCTTACCTCTTGGACTGCGATATAATGAAGTGGCAGGTCTGCCTTGGTGATTTCCAATCGGGCCTCTTTAGCGCCGGCCAAGATGGCGTCTAGGATGGCGTTCATCTTCTGCAGGTCGTCCTTTCGGAGCCTCCGTCCTTCTTGTCTTTCCTCCATCACTCTGGAAACAACAAAATCGAGATGATCGGCCCCAATTACCCTAGTCTCAAAGTCTGGTGATTGTGAAAAAATAAGTCGATTGTGGCTGTTTGTTCTCGAGTATTTTGAAGCATGGATCGGGAGAAAAAGTCGTCATAGTCCTTTGCAGGGCGTAGTAACGTTATGTTGTTGACGAGCAAACTTAAAAACATTTCTGTCAAAAGGCCGTATCAGCAAACTTAACACAAAGGTACCGAATTGTTTCGGTCGATCACAAGCGTTGTGGCAATTACAAATGATGTAAGATGAATGAGATTAACAGTGACACCGAATTACCTTGGCATCAAAGGTCATTTAAGACTGAATGACTTGTGGTCGGCTTTCCTACGAAAGCGACTTCTTAAAGGAGCTGGAGGCACCACACTTCGAATTTTAATACAGAAGGAATTCGAAAAATCACCAGAAGTTTAAGAAGTTGCAAGCAAATCATACCAGCAATTTTAGCACTACCCTTTAGACATGAAAAAAACTAAGCAATGCTGTAAATCCCAAATTGAGTCCTGAGCCACATGCGTTCGAATGCAATGCAACACAAGCCTCCTTTGTCATTGGGTTTAAGCACCGACCTGAAGTCTCTCTGGATGCCCTTGATGCACCCCACGAACAGCCTCTGCTGGTTGATAAGCTCCTGGTCCAACCGAGCCAGATCGACCTCTTTGATGTACAGCTGTCGCTTCAGAGATTCTACATCGGCCTCAATTTCTGAAAGCGAAAGCAGCCACCACAAAGTTCACGCAAATACCACCACAACGTCCTATTCATAAACTCAGTCTCAACAGCTGAAAAAAGGAAGAGCAGGTTTTGTCCAGGGCAACCCCAAAGGACGATGTAAATGCACAAACTATTTAGTTCTTACCGTCCTTGGATGCAAGCTTGCTCACAATGTCTTTCATTCGTTCCAATTTCACCTTTTCCTCCAGGTCCTTTAAAAGGAAGTACACAAAAATTTCCTCTCGGTAAATAAATGAGAAATAATTCATAATGAAAGTTCAAAAGTAACCCGAATATCCTGTCCCTTATAGAACCAAAAGACATCACTTCTTTAAAGCGACTGTGTGGAGTGCTCCAGAAAGTGCACTAGCTTGGAAGAACAGTTCATTCCAGAGAAGCGAAATCACTCACTTTGATTCGTCGATTGAGTCGGTCTTTCATGTCCTCGTGCGTGTCCCTTAATTGCGCCAATTCTTGCGCGAGGTTCTCCTCTCGCTGTTTACTGCCCTCTAGCAGTTTGGCCTTCTCTTTCTCCCAGAGCTGAACTGTTCCATTTCTTTGTAGCCTGCTCAAAAGAAGATTAACACAGGATTTGGAAACATATCACCACAATTAGCTGAAACATCTTGTTACAACGTTACCTCGCTAGAGTGGTAATTAAGGTGCCCTATTGAGGCCAAATTAATTATGACTAGCCTCTGCATTAAAATTTGAACCATCTGATCATACAAGTGTTTCGCTTCAAGTCTGGTCAGTCAAATTTGTGTTTATCTCCGATGTGCGTGGGCTGGTGCAGCGTAACAAACACATCATTCGCATTGAGCTGTCTGCAAAAAGTACGACAAATGCACGAGCGAACAGGCACCACAGCGCCTCCGTATTCCCAAAGTCTTAACATCACTGAACCTACTGGGCTATCATTTCCTGCTTCTCCTTGAGCTGCTGATGGAGAACTCCTTTCAGGTGTTTTTCCGAGCTCGACGACTCGGCCAGCTCCTGGTGTTTCCATTTCAGGTCGGCCGCTCTCGTCTTCTCCTCAGTTAACTTTTCTGTGGAAACGAAGTACCCTCTTTCATATGGCAAAAACTAAGCAATGCAAAAACTGTGTGTTGGGAAAAAAACATCAAGGCCCAGTCATTGCGAAGGAATGAATGAAGAATTAAATTCAATCGGTTCAATAATGACCATGTTATCCAATTTCTTGACCTCATCCCAATTATTTTCCACATAACTTTTGAACACGACTGTCGGATTAGAAAAAAAAAACTTTCCGGGCATCTTTAAGTTCAACAGTCAACAGTGGAAAATAGGAATCGGGTAAGCACTAGCGAAACGATTATCAAAACCTACTTTGTAGATCTTTAACTTCCTGCTGGAGTGTCGATTCTTTCTGTTGTGCAAGTTCCTAGATGGGTTGAGATTAAGAGACAAGATGAAATCTTTGAAATGCATGGATACCGGATGCGAAACCAATCAACCGACCAATCGACCCAGTTTGGAGATCACCCATGCAGAACTTCACAAACAGTTGCCACGACACGGCTTGACAAACTAGAAAAGGCAGGTATTCAAACTTCCACGCTATATACATGTGTCTTCCGTGCCCCACCGATTCTGTTCTTGCAACTTGTGAAAGAGGTCTACCGTAGCTGGACAAAACCCACTGAGCACGTACAAACACGTTCTCCATCTCATATTTACAGATCGTGAAAGCGGTAATCAGTCCGTCTTCCAACCGGAGCAACGCTGCTTTCCAATATGCTGTGACTGCATTATTGCCGGCTTGTAACAGTCTCTGCGTTCGATATTCGAGGCGTGACTAAACAAAACAGAAATTCGCCGATAGACGTGAATGATGTATGACGTGACCTACATCGTGCCTGCGTTTAACAAATTCACAAAAGTCTTATTATTGAACGGTGGTCGACTGAAACTAACTTTGGTGTGGTATGAAAAACCCCAACAATTTATGAGCCATGACACAGCTAATTTATAATGAGCAGACAGAGAGACGACTCACTGAAAATAAAAAAGTAACTCTCAGAAGCACGTGTCGGTAGCTAATCATTTTTCCATCTTTTAGCAAATCCTGGTCAAATAGGTTTAGGTAGTGGGTAAACGAAGGCAATTTTGTTTATGATTTATGACCACTCCCAGATGGATAAACGTCTTTCCACTGTCCAAGACTCACCCTCAGCCTGTCTTCCAGCGCATCCTTGACGTCATCCAACTTGTTGGTGAAGTCGAGGAGGAGTCTGGCTACGCTCCGCCCTTCCTGCGGCCCCTCTGACGGCTCGTGGTGGTCTAGAAAATGCTCACGAATCCGGCTCCAGGACGTATCCTCCTACCGTCCAAAAAGAAGCAAATAACGGTCACATCATCATCAACTGTCGCCGGGGAAAACTTCCCCTAGTCTTAGACAAGAAACACCATTGATCTAAATCGAATCAAGGTGAAAATTTTCATATCAGCCACCAACACGTTCTTCCAAGTAATAGGAGAACTTCAGGAACATTAACACATAAATGCCTGTATCGACGCGATTCTGACAAATTACACCGAACATTTCATTCGATCATTCAAGGTAAGTTAGGTTATAACTGCCCCGAACTTCTTGACACTAAACAATGCCGCACAAAGAAAAATCACAGAGGGTTTACTTTCTCTCCTAACACCTAATTTCTTTTAACTAATAATTGGCTTCTTACAATTTCCTGGAGCTGCTTCCTAACTTCAGCAGGTTCGTTGCTTGCGATCCCTCCCTTGTCGTCGAGTACATCAACAAAAGCCTCCAGGACGCGGGATATGCCCCCCCTGAGCTTACTGAGGCGGTCCCTGTGGAATACCAGCAGGGAAGTTGCCTTGTCGGCCGCCTCCATTCTACCAGGGGAGCGGTACTGCAATGCACACGGAAGAAAGGGTGTCTCAAATCAAAGCATTCACAATAAAGAGGGATAGAGTCGTCACAGGTGGAGTCGTCTAGGCCTATGCACTGACAATCTGGGCCATCCACCTGGCTGTGAATCCAATGTTACGGCCGGCTGATGCCTGCTTTTTACTCATAAAACGCTAACCACTTCTTCCTGCACAGGTTGTCATTATTGTAATTGTGGCTTACAACACTCAATCACCTTCTTCCCTTCCTCTTTACTCTTCACTGCAATAATGATACATGGTATATCGTCGTCGCTGTCCTCGTAACCAATGCCATCGTCCTTGCCATTCCGCACGCAGGTCAATGTCTACGGTCGCCGCTGATTGCTCAGGGGGCAACTTTCAACAATTTACCATGCACAATACCAGTCGTTAACGTCGGTAACACCACACAGCCCCGTGAGAAGATTTTTTCCTGTGACGTCCCACCAACTGTCCAATTATCAATAATTAACGTAAGCCCAGGTACATTGCGCTAAAGTTATTATACAACTGAGGATACAGAATTAACCCTTCAGCAAGTGAGAGCCCATCGGTGGGAAAGACAGTGGTAGTTATTACTGTTCAACACAGTTGAAGTACGTAGTCAGGAGCAGCTATGGCCATTTGAAAGTCATTATGCACTAACAATATCGCTCCCGTGCAAAACATGGAATTAATGACTACCTTCTGACAAGCAATCTATCATCATGATAAACCTATTTCCTTGTGTAGGGTAGCTTTTGTTCACTAGTACATTTATTGTCCGTCAAACAAAGAGAAGTTCGTGGTCGATCCACGGGTAATTTTCTGTCCCTGGGATACGCATAAGATTAACCTGTTTGCGTTTCTCTACCTATCCCTTTCATAAATAATGAACATGGGTGTACACAAAGTTCTTCTAGATACCATGCTGGAGGTTAAGTAAACGTGAATTATAAATCGGGACGCTCCAATGAAGGAACATGTGTCTGTCACATCAAAGACCTGTGTCATACGCGTGCAGATTGTCTGACAAAGGCATCACCAGGGATTCATTTCATCGCTGACATTTTTAAATTATTATAATTTTGACCATACATTTAGATACGGGAGTATCTTGTCAGACTTTGGGACTGACACTTAGTGGCGGCACAGCGACCATATGTTTTGACACCGGAAGATACGATACGATACGACTGAGGGAATCGGAATGAATGTTCCCCACGCTGAATACAATGTCGTGGAAATCCAAACGGACGTCTGTACAATGTGAGGAAGACCTTCTTATGTTTGCCAGTTTCTGGGAGGAAAAAAACAATCTGGTGCCGGTAGGATTCGAAGAGTTGACGAACTCAATTTGCTGACGTCTAGTTCAAACAACGCGAACAACTAAAGAAGAAAGAGTTTTCCTAAACTCTGTCGAGGCACCCAAAATTTTCTTTGGCGAAAACGTCATCGCAACGGCCTTCTCAATAAAACTATAGCAACATATGAAACTGTTATAAATATATAAACAAACAAGTCGAAAAGGTTGTTTTGAAGCAATATACAGAAACATGTGAAAAATGAAAGCAACCGAATGGACGTACATGTACCACAGATTCCCCATATTTTTTTCACATCGATCAATTAGAGGGGAAAATGACCGAAAAAACTGACAAACTGCGTAATTTTAGACAGGCCGTCCTACTTCAAATCTTCAACGATGCAACGTCAAAACACGAGCCGATAGATCTTACTCCACACTGCACATGATTGCACTTTGCGTAAATCTGATTGAAATGTGGACGCGCATACTGCATTTTGCACCGTCAAATAACTAATGCAACCAAATTATATAGATTACAGGTTCCGGGTTCGATGAGGTCATGAACGTCTTAAGTCAGAGCTCAAGCACGGAAGGTCATCGGCAGCGTGTCTATAATGCCCAGGTTGATCCATCGCGGAGGAAGGAACATCACAACCTCCATGATCCCATTGCAGCTGTTGCTACATGTATTTACACAAGGCACGGGATCAGGGTATATTCCGGTATTCACCGAAGGGGTCATTAAACGGGTTTTACCGGCGTTCTCCGGAGGGACGGGCAGTACCAATGAAACCAACCACTCTTCTCCTTCTTAGAAATAAAAAGCAGTTTGGATTCTCACTGAAAGATGCACGTGTGTTCAGGATTCTGTAATGAGAATTTCTAGTTCAAGGCAATTAAGTGCAGTTAGTCACACATATCTTGCAATTTACAACGTATAATCTACTTACTGTATGCACGCACACTTTTTTAATTTGACATTATGTTCTTAAAACCTGATCGCTCTATTAAGGGCGCTATTCTTTGACTATATCAATGACACAGCATCCGGGTTACAGCGACCCATCAAGCAGAAAATCTGAATTACAAGACATGGCACCGGATTCCATGATTCCATTCTTCGACCGTACCTTGAAGGAGGGACACCCATGTCCTCTGAATATCAACAGGCATTCTGATGATCTCAACTCTGCCGTAGTGACAAATGACAAAATCGGAATAAAGTGGAACAATTCCAGCGCTTCGGAATTTCAGGACTCTGCGAAGTTGTGTATGACATCGATAAGACAAATTAAAACTTAAAATACTGAAAGCGTGCAATGCAGGAAAATTCTTAACAGGGTTTGTAGTAGAAACCTCAATCTTCTGGATGTACGAAGTTCTGATGATAACACTATTTCCAAGCAATGTCAACGACGTGAACAATGACAACGTGAACGACGTAGCCAGGCCAAGCAAGTCGTACGCTGGCGACGGTCACAAAGTACCGTGGCACTTCAGAGCAAGATTTGGTCAAGAATCCCACCACTTGTCGTACATTAATGCCCACCGGATACATATAAGACAAGTCCTGAAGGGTCGGCTTCGTTTTCATGCTTGGGAATTCTTACCTGTTAATAAACAAATCATGCCACGTAGGCCTGTCGATGGTCACCGTGTCACTTGTCTCTCTGAAGAAGACATCGATTGGGTGTTGGTTTTTGAAGCCCTCAATCAAAGAACACGACTTTAATACGGAGGATTATGTCACTTAATAGCTATTCACGTAAGGCGCGTTCACATTATTACCGGTCATTTCTGCTTGGTCATGGAGCTACGTGATCTATCCCTAACATGCCGAGAGCTACAGACACGACAAAAAGCCTTCACTGTATTGATCGACTGTTGAAAAGGACAATGAGTTAACAATTCCGGACAATAAAAGGCAACCTGCGGTAAAAGGTAGACCAGTCTATGGCCTCTTCCAGCGTCTGCTCGTGCATGCAATGAGTGCATGACGTGCTACGGTGATGTGGCAACGCGGCGAACCCAAGTTTCGATGCTAAAGAAGGGCGGGGAAAATAGAGAGAGAGGCTAAAAAGGCGAGATTCATCATTATGCCCATTCAGACAGACCGTATGACAAGTCAGATATACAAAACACCACTCTCTTCAAGATTATTTTTCTGGTTGTGAAAATATTGTGATCAAATATTAATAAACTTGGGATTGTGCACGACTTTAAATAAATGTGTTTTTATACACGAAAATCGAATCAGTTTGAACATGAAACAGATTATACTGGAAACTGACTAGGTGCTTACAAATGATTTTAGAGAGGATCCCAGGTTGTAGCGTGTTTTTGGGTGTGATCCCTGGCTAGATGGTTTAATGGCTTCTGGCTTGCGCCCCCTCGAATAGAGAGATATTAACAAATGGGGAGAACCACCAAAGTAGGGGATGGGATAGCTCAGATGGTAGAACAATGGTATGGAGTTCCAGAGGTCGTAGGTTCGAATTCCGCTCCAGTCAATTTCTGTGTTTGTCTTTATAATCACAGTTTCAACATGCACACAAGACCTCATACAGAAATCACGTGCAGGAGGCGTATATGGCCTTTCAGGAGAGGGGGTTATGGTGATACTGAGGGGTTGCCCTAGCCTTGTTAAAGAGATTCACCGAGAATCGTTGTGTAAGGTAATAATTGTAAACATTCCATGACAGATTAATTGTACAAATGCATAGCAAACGGTAGATCCGCAAGGTTACGATTTGCGTTTCAAAACAATATTGGAATTCCGTAACGATCAACTGCAAACTGTAGATTGTTACAAAGTACGATTATTACTAGCTATAATTACTGTGGGTTCGTATTGAATCTGCTGTCTGATCTTAGTCGCTTCAAACCGACGGTAATCATTCCATAACTACTGTAGGTTTCAAACGACGAAGAAAGTATATATCCTCACATCCACCACATCCCTCGTTTCAATCATACATAGCATGACTGGAAGGTTGAGTTTGGAAAGAGATACACACACTAAGCTTGCCGTGAGACTGATTCCATTGGGCATCGTAATAGTTACAGTTACTAAATGTAAGAGCTACCGGGAACGCCCACACTCTGACGTTATTGTGTACGTTTGCCTTTCTCCATAGAAAATGACTTATAGTTTGTTATCTCTCGTGTTTTCCAGATCAATGCATTAAAAAGCAAAGTTTTATCAAGGATTTGAATTTGCTCTTCACCTTTCAATAAGGAATTGATTTGATGTGTTTGGCTGCTTTTCTGTGTCTAAGTTTTGCCCAGTCTTTTTTATGTTGGATTATAGCTTAATTGAATTGACACAAACTTAGGTACATCTTCTAGTTGTTCTAAGATCACACCGGTCCTGAGGTGACAGATATGTCAGAATCGCTGCTCCCCAATTGCATGGTCCAGCACACATCTCATTTCTTTTAAAATGTTCTAGTATAATCTTGCTTGGAGAGAAGGCCTGTAAATGTTCTTGTGTTGCTAATGTTTGTAGTGCTATAAGCAATTTTTGGTGGATATGTGCGCTTTATAGAAATTCTGTACTGTTGTTATTTAACTCCAAAATTGGAAAGTAATTTGAATCCAAAGTTGCTCATTCTCCAAATAAAATAGCAATCTGTAGCGAGGGGGCATTTCGGAATGATACATAGATAAGAACATGTAAGTATCAGTGAAGCTCATTTAGTGAGCGGTTTGTAAAGTGGTTCTAAAAGTGCTAACCATACTTTCACGAGGTTATAGCATTCCTCAATTTCATAGAGTCCTGTGGTGGTTTTAGTCAGCAAGGGTTCGCTGCAATGACACACGTATAATAATGAATCCAAGGCGCAATATGAAGAGAATACAGGTATAATTATATCCAACACTGAGTGTTGACTGCACAAATACTCTCATGAAGTTGATATAGCACTCTTCGATTTCTAAGAGTCCTTGCTGTACTCCGATATGCTTAACTGCAGTGACACTCGTGTAATAATCACTTCAAGGCGCATGAAAAAGAGAAGCGAGTAATCATCCAGCAGTCATGGTGTTGACGGCACCAATACTGTCGATGTTTGCACATAGCCCAAATCCGTGCATGTTAACGAATGGAACAAAGGTGTGCACTCAGCTATCAGGCGAAGGGCAACAGCAAGAGCGTCATATGTACCAGGCACGAAATGGGACAGAGGGGTACCCCCCAAAAAAGTCCAATCCCTATACACACTCCAGCCTATTGTCACTTAACACCCCCCCGCGATGTCTGAAAAGAACTCCTAACATATCAGTATAACAATGACCAAACCAAAGGTTCCTTCATATGGCGTCATAGACTCGGGACTCCATGTTCGTGTAACAATGGGAAATAGTTTAAGTCAGAGAATCGACTCGGAACTGTTGATTCGCGCATTCTTAGCGCGAATCTACAGTTCCTCGTCCATTCTCCTTGACATAGATGGATGGATGGCGCAATCCTCGTCCGGGATTTGTTTTTGGTAGTCCTACTCATTTGCTGTCATTTCACTGGTAGCTCCATTTAGCCCACGGCTGAAGGGGGGGGGGGTTGCAACCCCACCCCCTCTAGAACTGCCGCTGATAATCTACAACGAAATGTAGCCTATATGCTTTCAATGCCCAATGTGAAATTTCTACATGCATATGCACAAAACTTGCATGCAGTTATTACGTTACATGTATTTAAATCCATGTTGACGTAGGCTATAGGCCTATAATCTGATAATGCCCAATGTGATAATGCTTCTGATTACGGTGCGCCGATGCTGCATTGTTTAGTATTGTACACGTTTTTTAAGGCATGACCTGTGTTGAAACTGCAGTCAGTCAGATAAAAGACAAAACGATGAAGCAACTAAAGTTCCCGATGAATTGCACTTTTACACCAGTGTCACGATCAGGCAAGAATCACAGTAATTGATGATCAGTGAGTGCACACTATATCATGAGATTTGCTACTTCAGAACTACAGCTACAATAGCCACCAACAATTTCACAGGTGAGTAGTTCCGCAGTGGCAAGAAATCAAACACCTACGTCAGTAACAACTCTTTAAGAACATCAACAACAAAGGCAACGTAGAAAGAACAGCGATAAAAGGACAACTGAGGGGAACCATACCACATGGCCCAGGCTTTAAGTGCATTTGGTTTCCAGTCCATACTCGCTCTCGCAGGTTTTCTCCGGGTACTCCGGTTTCCTCCTGCCTCAAAAACTGGACCTTCTTCCTAACTCCGTAATGTGATGCTGATTAATAAGTGTATGAATAAAAACGTACAGATATTGGCGCGAATAGCCTGAGCGCCATTAAAATAAAAACAAACAAACAAACAACCACCACCATACCGTATAAAACCCGTGCATGGTGTTCAAGTTACGTACTCTCAGCGGCTGCGGTGTGCACTTCAGTATACGCATTCACATATACGTGTATACACATTGACTGGCAAACACTTCTCGACACCTTGTCGTCCGGCCGTTAATCGGAGAATAACAGATTGGACACGATTACTAATCAGTCGACAGTGACCTACATTGTGACACAACACGGTTTTATTGGCGATAAACAGTGGTAATGATTGCAATGTTTCTAAAGCCTGCCTCACGAACGATGCCGTTAATTGGAGAACTAATTAGCTCATGTAGACTTTACAAACTGCCTACGTGTTGGCTAAGAACTCTAATTGCTACAGCTGTGTTTTTGCTTGTGTGGAAGGAGAACATTCAGATCTGTGTCTGCCATTCAAAACGCAGCTCATATCAAAACGTTCAACTGCCATTTTGATGTGCATGGCATCCCCTTTTGTGTTAGTCTTTAGTCTTGTACAACTGAAGCGAATTATAAGTGAAAACGTGTCCTTCAACTTAAGCAACATCCGAGGATTCATTTATTTTATGCGGCAAAATTGCACCTGGCGCGCATGCAGCGCACGGTTCTGATAACCGCGTCCATGTACATAAAAATGGAGGAACAGTTTGCGCAGAGTAAGCAACTGTATCGACTCCGTCTCTGGAGTGTTTTTTTATATGTCAACTGTTCAAAGATCCCTGTTTACAGTTGTCACCAAACCAAAGGTGTTTAAAGGGCAAACTGCAGAACAAACGGCGCCTTATCAGCTAGACACTTGGCAAGCGACACACAATGCTGTCTCGTGTACCTTCTCGTTATGTTGGTTTTATTTAAACATTAAATCCGCCTGCAAGTATGGTTGATTGGCGCTTCAACAGCGGGCCGTGATGTGATTATACACGCCGTGGGTCATCCTCGTGATAAATCTGCATCTGAGTATAATCGAGCATGCGCAGTCATATACGTAGACGTACACATGATGATGCCTCTTGCAAATTAGTCACGGAAATACGCATCTACAGGGCCAAAGAAGAAGCAACGATGTTTTCGGTAAACGCATCGCTTTTTTAAAAAACACTATGTCCTTTACAGACAATGGAGACACAACAATGATTGTAACAATCAATATTTTTGTATTATGCTGAATAAAATATTCTCTTGACACAAATGCACCTCATGCGCACTACCCTAATGAAAACACCAACCTGGCCATGTATTCCTAGGGTGTCAATTTAACACCACTGGCAGTTTTATTCAGCGTGTACAATGAGTGACGAATAAAATTCACATTTTCAGACTAAATCACAGAGTAGCAACTTTCCCTTGTGATCCATTTAATTTTCCACCGCACCATAGCTGTCGATTTTCCTTGATTTGTTTCAAACTAAACCAACACATCACGCTAATTAATATGAACCAATAGATCAATGGCCAGTCCCATACTTTTCACCCCGTTTTTCATTGCTTCGACATGAATTCAGACAAGCACTATTAATGTGATCATTTCTGTATTTACCTTCTTTCATTTAGATTTTTATTTGATCTCATTGTGAAAGTACGGAAACAAATATTGCTCTTTAACGGGATATACAAGTACACAGTAACTCTATCATAAGCCATTATCTCCAAAATGATGTAGTACCAAATACATCGAAAAATAAAGGCGCCAATTTGGTATCTCGAAAAAGCAAGGTCATTCGAGAACAAAAGTACTCGTGTAAGTCGGGGTATGGCCGACTCGTTCACGAGCGTGTATTGGTGTTCCCGAATGACCCCGGAAATGCTTCATTTTGGACTTTTTGGATTGAGCGACATTGCAAAAAGTAAGGATTGTTTGAGACACATTGTTGAGCCGCCACGTTCGAAAGTGATGAATCCGCCCGGCCCAAGAGATCTGTCCCTGATCACGAAACATGAACGAGCGGCACTCAAGGTTTGCCTGAAGATCATGTCATTACATTATCATGTGAGCTGAAATTTCTTGTTTAATCGGTCATAGGCAACTTGGCTAAAGGGCTCAGTAAAAGGATCTTTCCTATTCTTTGGGGAAATACAACAATGGCGTATCCACGTCATGGGTTGTAAAACGAGAATGAGATTTTTTTCTCCCCCCCCCCAAAAAAAAAAGGAAAAAGAAAAAAAAGGAGACTCCAAATATTTTTATCCATAAAGGGATCCTCCCAAACAAAGGTGGAAGTGCAGTTTCTAACGTGCTCGCAATCGCTAAGTCATAATTGCTAACATCTCTCCAGAGGGAGGCATCATATCACTCCTGCCCCGCTGTACACCCCGCTGGATTAAAGTGACTACATCAGGAGTGCAGCGGAGAGTTAGGCCTACTTGGTCTTGGCATTGTGTATTGAGTTATCACATGAAGGAATGATTCCTCCATGGTTATAATATTCTTGATGTCTCGGTGCAACCAAACAGCCACAGCAACAATGCAAAACGATTTTTGAATCCACATAGTTTTTATTCGAAAGCAGTTCCACAAATGTGTAAAAAAAGTACAAGGAATTCAGCAAGTACAGAAAATACGTCTTCCGCACAATATTATTTCCTTCATGTCAGTCCAATATTAGATTTCGCCAACAATGACAAGCTTTCTTCCAGCAATGTGCTCGTTCATAACGGTAAGCCAGCAAGGGAAGGTATCATGAAGGCTGAACTCCCGTCCCTCATGGCAGTTTATGTTCTCCTTTCAATTCTGGATTATCGGGATGCAAAACTTACCTTGATGTTATATTCTGAATATTAGCACGCTTCTGTCTGTCAGCAAGACCCATAGACGCTGAGACCATCCACCACACCGGCTAGCAGGGCGGGCATGCCAACACGAAACGTATCCTGATATATATCGTACGTGTACAAGCAGCCTGCGCCAGAAGTATACAAGTACATCCAAAATACTTGCAGAGCCGAAACCGGGTTGCCAACGGGGTACGTGCAGCGCCAGTTCCGGGTGCAAACTTACCGTTGTCAAGTAGCACGAGTGTGTGTACACAGGGCCAACAAAATCACAAAGGCAAAGCGCTCTTGGGGAGCGCGCGCACACACAAATGTTTCCAAATCGCAGGCGGATTTGGCCACAGCAGGATTGAAAAGCTTACTGGTAATGCATAATAGTGACTACGGTGTTTGTTCAGTTGTGCAACAAAAACGCTTTTTTTTGCCTTCGTGACTGGAATAATTGTGTGTCATTGTGAGATGTTAACCCCCCCCGGTCTGAAAAAAAAACGAAGGGTGAGGGAAATTTTTCCTGCCCGTTGGCCCCGAAGAATCGGCTTAGTAGCTTGGCGGCATACACAAACCAACAAGGCATTAAAGTTAAACCTGAAATATTGTAGCTATTTTTCAGTTTAGCTGTTAGGAATCATGTTTCTCGGTCTACTGTTGATCTCTGATTGTAGCTTCCGGTCGCAACAAAACAAGGCCTTCGAAGGAAAAATGGGGAATAAAAAGATTATTCAGCGTAGCCAGTTTGGAAAGGATAACTGTGAAAAAGACGCGAAACTTAAATGAACTACACTGTGAATTGCTTGGAAGATAATTTGGGAGGCTTCCAAGATACTAGATAAGAGCAGAGCAAACCGAGTTTTGACGCATTTTGCTTTGCGCACAAACTTTACCTTGAGTGATTGCAGGCAATACACCTGTTTACGTGGCGCATGGCAGGATCCAAGGTTGGGTCCACCATACAGCAACGGCCTACCCTGTGGGTCAAGCCATGCGCAGAAGGGGGCTTACTATTGAGCAACAGGGACCCTCGGGGGAAAGTCCCTTCCAAGCGGGTTTGAGGTGAGGTAATAACACTGTCGCATTAGCTACTTTTGAATTTTTAATCAGGACCCTATCAAACCGAAGGCTTCCAAAGCAGTACAAAAATACTCGCCGCATAATTTAAATTGTTCAACCTTCTTGAATCAAGTGAGACACGTTGATTTCAATAATTTTCACCGGTCCTAAAAAAGAAAGAAAACAAAAGACCCAATACAGAAAACCAAACAAAACATTTACAACGCCCTAATAGTGTTCTCATAAATTAAAAAAGTCGAAAAAAGTTTGGCTCTGACTAAGTTAAAAGTTTTGTGAATACACCCGAGATTAACGGATATTTATTTTTACTCAATAATTTCTACATACGTGTACAAAACAAGTCGTAGCTTATTCTAAACGAATGGGGGCGCTATATATTAGGATATGCCCACATCATACGCACTGAGGTCGTTTGCACTATCATGGTTCCCAAAAGCTCATACGAAGCTTCATGATTTGCTGCTTCGATTTTTTCTTAAAGTTTTACAAGGCGGGGTTTAAATTGTATGACAACTCTAAAGGATTGTAATCCTGGATTTTTATGTTGAATTCCACACTGCGTGTGTACGTCATTACGCCATGGCACCATGCGCTGTGGTTACAAAAATGGCGGGAAACGTTGTCAAGTTAAAGTCGCCAACTTACGTACGTCGTAGCCTGTCCTGGTTGGTTATTCCTCATAGCTACCACGCATGTACATGTCAGCACAGCACGGGGCAAGTTCGTCAAGGACCACCAGTTAACTAGTGGTTGGTTCGTGACGAAGTTAGCGCATGTGCAGTGAAGTTAAAGTACGAACGACCCCAGTCAACCGTTGTCAGGTCAATACGCCGAAGAGGAGAAAAGGTGGCCGCGAGAAGGGCAAAATAGCAAAAATAAAAATGAAAATGGTCGTTTACTAGTGACATACAATTTATCCAGCATTTTTCTTATAACTGTTCCTCACTGCGCTGTGCTATTAAAAACGATGTTTGGCGAAGAGTTCAATAGACTTAGTTCAATCATCGTCAATTAGGGTGCGTTCGATCAGAGTTAGTCGAACTATGGTTAACTATGGCCCTTGATCGAACTTGCCTCTGGCTTCTTTGTACTAAGTTAACAGCTGGTTTCATTCATTTGACGGTGGAACATCAATGCCTGGTTCGACACGCCGGAGTACTGGGAAGAGAAACATCAATGCGCCACACACGAAGTAAATACCAGCCAACACGTAGAACACAGTCTTGTAACTCTCGGAACTATCAAACAGAGAACCTGCAGTGGAAAAGAAAACAAAAAATGCACGAAGCTCATCGAGAAGTGTAGTAAATTATCAACGATTAGCTAATTTGATGCGACTGCTCCCTTGAGTGACTGACTGACTGCGCATGACTGACTGGTGACAGATTGATTGACTATGTGAAAAGTTTACTGATTGCTTGCCTGATTGGGTTGGCTGATGGACTGGTTGATTCTTTTATAAACTGAAGGAGAATAAACTGAAGGAGAATAATCAAATGTTGGAATATCAGAGTGTCTTTCAACCCCACATCAGAATTGTCCTTTTATTTTAAACCCGGCAGGTAAAAGTACACGATGATAAAAATGTCGGCATGCACATTTGGATCCCAAAGGGACGAATATTAATTTGGCCTGGGGTACGTGAGGTTGGGGCACAATTTGTGACAGAGTCAATGGTTACATGGGTTTTGTAAATATGAACAGCTATTTCCCTGAATGTGGATTCCAAATTGACATTGTTATACATCTTGCAAGGCTGAATACAGAGGTGTGTGTTATTTTTACAGAGTAAATGACCTATTTTACAGGTCATGACAGGTGGTAACAGTTTTGGATGTAACAAGGACACTGTCAAAAATTGTGCCCAGGCCTCATGGAATCACCCAGTTACGAAGGAAGAAATAATTAATGACTGTGTCATGAATTCCCTACATTATTTTGTTTGAGGATTAATAGGAGAGTGGCTTATCCACATATTTATATATCTGATACATTGTGATAATAATGCAGTCACATCGTTAACCCGTGTACCTGCTCCTACCGGTCCCAATAATCCCCCGATACCAAGACAGATGTAGTAGATGCCACAACAAACAGAGAACTGTTTGACACCACCGTACCGCCGGGTCAGGACAATGAAAATAGAGAACAGGACACCAGTTGACAGGCCAAAGAGGAAGGAGGAAACGGATAAACACACGTAGCTGTCCACGTTCATAAGGAGCAGCGAGACACCAGCTACGGCCGCACACTTGAAGCAAACGATCTCGGCCGACAGCTTCCAGCTGATGACCAGCCCGTTGCCGAGGCGACCCACCAGGCCGCCGACGCCGTTCACGGTGAGCAGCAAAGCGGCCATGGTGGGCGTGACGCCAATACTCTGCGCCCGGGGAATGACGAACGGTGCCGATCCAAAGTACGGTATGGCGGTCGCAACCGACAGGAAACAGAGCAAGCCGAAGCGATAGCTCCTACGGAAGACCACGAGCCCAAGTCCAGATAGCACTTTCCTGAGATAAGTGCATTTTGGTTTTACATCATCTCGGCCGCTGCTGAGAGACGAATATTGGCCAGGTGTTCTATTTTCATGGTCGGCGTTCCTTACCGACTTCATCTTGATCTCTGGGTTATCCCCAGAGGTATCATTCTCAACGAATTCATGGGAATTTCGGTTCCTTGGCTCCAACTGGTCACCCACCAAATCCTCGTGCACTTCCCCGTAGGCTGGATCGTTCGCCGTGCCAGCTGGGTCTGGTTTCCTCCTGGTGCCTGCCCGCCGGTAGAGGGTGGCCAGGGCCACGACATTGGCCATGACCCCAGAGATGATCAACAGCGCCCCCCTCCACCCGAAGCCGATCAGGAAAAGTTGCATCAGGGGCGGTGCTGCGATCTTCCCGGTCCCACTGCCCGAGTACGCCACGGCGTTGGCTGTCGTGTACCTCCTCGTGAAGTGTAGGCCGACGGCAACCAGCGAAGTGTTGACAGAAATCCCCAGCCCCATTCCTGTAAACAGTGCAGTAAGAAGTTGACACCCAGGTCAAGGAAATGAAATAGTTCAGGGTAGTGGAGTATCCAGGACTGGGAGGGGAATGGAATTTTTTTCTAAAACTAAAAATGAAAGCCCAATATATCAGAGCTCTATACAGAGAGAGTAGCGCCAACTTCAACATTGTGCGCAGTACAGCATACAGCGAATGTATACCAATACGGGCGTTTCACAAAAGTGCGCCTCCAAGAGTTTGCAACGCACTGGCCAATCATAATGCGCAAAATCTGTCGATCCAATGCGCGCTTGGAAAGGGTCAAACAATCCGCCAATTCCGTTCCAATTATTGTATTGAGACAATCATGTGGCAACTCTTTCTGTTAACAGCTCTGCCCACTATTCCCTCCTGGCAGCCCGATCATCCCCCCGAAGGGTAGTAGTGCCGTTTCGAAAATGCTGGCGCTTAATTACTGAATCAATAAAACAAAATTGGCGACATGTCGCCAAGGGATACTTTCCACTGCCCGAGATACGCCACTTGTTCAAGGGTGGTATGCGAATAGAGGCCTTGCGTGGTAGCCATTTTGCAGGGCAGTTCTTTTGTTCCATAAGAAACCATCACCTTTGTGCATATCTTGTTGAACAAAACCACTGGCCTGCAAGATGGCAGCCATGCAAACCCACTATTAATTTTTGATTACAGTTTCTTTTCATGAGGCATTTTCTATTGCGATCTGACTTTTTATTGCTTGTTTCGAATTTCTTCCATCCACACGAGGTACCGCCTTTTAGGAAACCTGAAAACCAAATTAATTTAAAGTATAAAGAAATCGCCAATGTACATTGTATAATGCAAACACGCGACATGCACTATGAGCATCGCATTCCAAATGTGTGGAACAGCCAGTCAACTTTTGAGGAAAAATCCACTCACCCCAAAAGAGAAAACGTGTCTGAATATTGTGTTGGACGACTGAATTCAAGTCTTCAAAGTTCGCACCTTTTGCTAAACAAGGAATCTTCCGCAACAGAAAAGTTACGAGTAAAAACGCAGAGGGAGGATATCAAGGGGAACATAGATTACCAGCTACCGCGGCAGCTAGGTACAACTGGGATATGTTGCGTACCCAGGTGGTACCGAACACACCCGTGGCTGCCAAGAGTCCCCCAACAATTCCAGCCATTCTGCACCCGAAGCGTTTGATCATTACGCCGCCTATCAGACCTGAGGAAAGAAACATCAAACGAACGAATTAGAATTAAAAAAACAAACTTATATGTCATTGCAATGCAACTTGGAAAGTCCGAATAATTTGACAAGAAGGCAGAAATGATTACGGGGGCCGGGTGGGTCACGAATCATTTTATCAAGTTACGTATGGCTCTGATCTGTATAAAATACTAGGTTGAATCTTTTAGAAGTTCATTTCTGTCACTTTTTCTGAAAATGTCGGGCGCTCCCCTCTGATCGTTACATAAAAAAACTCTCCTCCATGATTTCGGAACTGATCTCATTCACAAGTCAACCATACTGTATTGAAGACAGGGTTAACTTTATTTTGTTTTTTTTAGTTTGGGAACCTGAGTTGAAATGAAAGCAAATCAAAAACAGTTGAAGATTTATTTAATTTATGAAGATCAATGATTCAAATTTTGTGATTTATTTTATCTCCTTGTTTTAAGCCACATAAAAATAGAACCCAAAGTAGTCTGGCACCACTCCATTTGACAGGTGACATTGGATAAGATTGGTTCAGGCAACACAATTAAAACTGGCATTCTTATTAACGATAATTAATGATATCAGCCGATATCATCAATAAAAGGGAAAATCAATCCGCCATTCTTTCTGGAATGATACAGACAAAGACATGCACAGGACACAGCCAGAAACAATTCTTTCACAATCACCAAAAGGGGCCGCTTTCGTGCAAGATATCAGTCTGTTCATGAACATTCCAACATTTGCGGTTAAGATTAGATTTTATTTAATCACCAGGCCGCGGTATGTAGTCTGAAGGCCAAATTGCGTGTGTTGGCGACAGCCCTGGGGGTGGGGGGCACGGCGGGTGGGGAGGGGACGGGTTGGAATATTAGCTTGGGGGGCGTATCATAATAACAATTTAAATGATTGAAGTTGATGCGAATGGTCTTGCCGATGGGTAAGAGGGCAAGGGCGATCCGCTCCCCGCCCCCTTCCCTTCGCGCCCCTCCCCTTGGCAATGGTCTTGGTTAACGATTGTCACAAACAAAAAAGGAAAAGCCATAAGTAACAAACAAAACACAAGAGAGGAAGTAAAAAAGATACAGTAAAGCCCACAAAACGAAAGTAAGAATATAATACAACTTGCAAAAATCAGGGTGAAAACGAAGCCTTTTAAATTTGTGTTTCCCCAGGCAAAGTTGACAATATGTTCTGAGCTGCCTACAGTGACACCGAAAGTTTCCATCACAGCACCTTTACAGTTTACAAATAGTAATGCAAAAAAAAAAAAAAAATAAAAAAAACATAGGGCAGTGGGACACAACAATTTCAAGGATTCCACTTGAAAAAAAATATACTGGCAACGTTATCCTCATACATCTGCACTGCTTCATACCACTGAAGGAGCCGAGGGACGACATGATGCTCTGGACGGCAGCTGTCTGCTTAGCGCTCGTCTCAAACTCGTCCCTCCAGCTCAGGTAGAAGACATCAGTGGCTCGCTGACCGCACTCCACCAGCGCCAAGTTTAAGTGGGCAGCAACGACAGCGAGGATCGCCCACCTAGCCGTGCTCGCGTGGCTCCGTAGACGGGGGCAAACTGACGTTCCACCTGTGATCGCCATTTTTCTGGAGCACTGACGATGCAACAAGGTCAGTTCTTCGTTGTTAGTCTATAACAGTGTTATAGTAAACAAAATAAAAAAGGCAAATATCCACATACGTACGCTCAGCTTCAGTGATTACGTCAGATGTGTACTTTGGATCATAAATAGCCTAAAAATACACACCATTTATTGGAGAACACGTTCACAAGTTTAATATTACTGTAGAAAAATAACAGAATGGACTTTGTAAACCAGCCGCAATATGCTTGGCGATAAATAACGAAGAGGGTTCTAATCACAATTAACGACTTGATATCTTTGAAATCATGTTTCATCAAGTAGATCAGTGCTTTTAGAACCCACTATGCCCGATTCGTCAACAGTACAACATCTGACTCATCTCCCGATTTCGTACCGTTTATGTTCATTGGCTCAGTCTCTAGATTCATGTGCCACGTGGCGGTGAGCCTTCTGATCCCCACACCAGCCTTACTGTGTCCTAATTCCCCAGCAAAACGCCAACCTGAGGACTGGCCTAACAGTGACTGGGCTCGGAAGCAAAAATCCGGCAGCAAGGGCCAGGTTCGCTCGGGGCAATCGGCGGCAAGGCAGACAGCGCCTCCCCCGTAGTAGTCCGGAAAGTGTCGTGTCCGTCCAAAAAGCACCCTCTCTTGGCGAGTCACAAGCACCTCTCGTGCACCATTGGGTATGGTCAAGGCCCGCTTCAAAAGAGCCACCTATACGGAACAGGAGTGAGAATATTTACGTAGTAAAGTCTGATCATATATGACTAAAACACAAATTGAAAAAAAAGACCACTTGAAACAAGAATGTCTGTTTCAATAACTAAAAGCGCTATCTTCAGCTACAACATCCGGGAACTCGATTTGAAACCTGTTCACTGATGCAGGGATGGATCCAGGATTTTTTGCTCGGGGGGGGGGGATTTTTGCTTATGCAAGGGGGGGGCTTACTACATGTTTTTTTCGCCGTTTTGGTGAAGCCATTCAATCCGCTTGTTTTGGTTATAACCATACACGCAAAATAACACTCCCACTACTGTTCTTTTTTTGGGGGGGGTTCCAACCTTTAGACGTCTAGGCCACTAAAAAGAAAGAAAAATATGGTTGAATTAAAACCTGGGTCGTCATCACATTATAAAGAAAATCCTGGTTTTGATCGTACAATAAACCTCGCGCCAGTTTCAATCTACGCTGGGCTAAAACCAGTTCATTTTACTCCAAAGGAATCTGTCCCCTCGACATTTTTCCATTATCGTCACATCGCATGTTTTCCTTCGTGCACTGAACTTCAAAGTAATTTTTATTAATATTGTGAATATACATGTATGACGTACATTTGTTGTGCAACACAAACAGATGTACATGTCCTTTTTCCCCCAGTACGTGTACAATGGCCTTGAACTTTGACTGGAACAGCCGGACTGAGTTGATTATTCACCTTTGTAGCGATAGTGAGAGTGTTTTACATACTTGCTAAGTTAAATAAAAGGACATGGGAAAGATGAGTTCTTTGGGGGATCTGCTTCCGCCTGTGAGATAGTCAAAACTAACCCAGCTTTCTTTGGAATAAACATTACATCAATGGTCTTTATGAAAAACCGGACGACAGGCATACCTCCCAACAACAGGGAGCACAATTTTTAGAAAGCCATATATACGCCGTTTTGATGTAAGGCTCAACAGAAGTATAATACATGTACATATTACAGATGTACACCTGTATCGTGAACATCTACCCTCAGACACCCCCCCTTTTCAAATTTCCACTGCTGGGCAAGTCATTCCCCCAAAATTCCCCATCCCCATTTCCCTCGAGGCTATTAGACATGTAGTTCGTCATTTTCAATTAATGTGCATAAATAACTGAAGTTTTGTGCATTGTCAAAACTCAAAACTGGCGAAAAAGAATGCTCTAATGAAAATTTGTTTTTCAGGTCAAACAATTCAGCGACTTAATTCTCACACGGACTTGCAAAAGACAACGAACCCATCTTTTCTAAATAATGTTAAAAAGGTTTGTAATAAGATAAATTCTGCTATATCTTGAAAAAAAATCTCTGCTATTTCCTCAGTGATCTTGCTGGGGAGCATTCTTTTCCCGCGGCGAAGGGAGACTAGCTTTAACACTCAAAGCAGTCAATGTTACATCCTTGTTCTATACCGCAGACCCACCTTTGTTCCTTCAATACGCCGTCCCAGACCCAATCTTATCCATCTTTTGTTCAACACAACACAACATCCAAGCTCAACCAGAGATGCGTCCGAGGCCGTTCATACTGAAATTAACCCGGATGTGTGCGCACTTCTTGCATTACGATTCTTTTGCTTTGTGCCATGAAAACTCAATTGCCCTATTGCGGTTTCACTTTTTGCATTTTTTGTGTTAATCGTAAAATTGCATCTATAGTTAGTCATAAAAACCGTATGCAGCTCCAACCACCGTGACAGGTTGCATAATTACGCATTTCATTATATCGACCTGAATACGAAAAAATAAACCGATTGGTGTCAGTTTCTTTCTCGATAGTGCAGGGCAAGGTGAATTGAAAGCCCAGGGTCAGACCGCTTGAAATGACAGATACACGTGTGGAAGAATTATGCATAATTATCATGCACCACAGAAAAATGGGGGAAAGTACTATCCTGCCAAGGTAGCAGACGCGGATGGGCGGGTCATACTACACTTTTTCCTGGCTATTTTTTGTTTTTAGTGACCTTTATCTAAAGGTTGCAAGCCTCACACCTTAAAATGTGTAGCCCCTGTCCAGCTGCACTTACTTGCGTCTTCGGTTAAGGACAAAACAAAGATATGAAAAGGTGTCAACAACCGTGGCGTCAAATACAGTACGTGGAATCCGTCGAACGTCCTGAAATAATCGCAAGACAACATTGCTTGGAAAACTGAGGAAGTTTTCCAAGCAATGACATGACATTTGGTATAGATATGTGCAGCCTGCCGCAATAAAAACGCTCACGTACTACTTCAGAGCCATTACGCATTTTACCCAATGCCGAACAACACGTCCCACTCCACTCGCCTCCATTCGGCGCACACGCCGTCGTGGAGTGCGTAAACAGATTTTTGCCTAATCTAGTTTTTGTTGTGTAGGCTTTGCGTCAGACGATATGGCCCTCGTTCCTCCCCGAGATCCCAAGACCAATAAATTGGAGACGTTACCTGGAAAAGCCGAAAGATTTCTCGCATTTGCGTTAGGGCCGTCTATCAGCTGATGCATCAGTTCCCGGATTGCGAAGTCCATACAATGCCGCCTGCGGTGCGCACAGCTATGACCCGAAAATAGGTCAAGGCACGAATTCTGGCATGGTTGCGCTAACTCAGGTCAGACTGTATCTGTCTGCCTGTGTATGCAGTCTTACCGCCACAAACTGACGCGGTCATCTTGGCAGCAGCACACATTGGCTGAGTTCGGGCGGCTTGGTCTCGTATGTTCACGAACAGCTCGATTTCATGCTCGAACGCCGGGAACAAACAACCGGTTATTGGTGGTAGTTAGTGGCAAGCAACATGCAACATGGCAGTGTCCATGCGTGTGAGTTATTCGAGAGTTAATGTTTGGATGGGCTGAATTCTTTCTATTTAAAAAGGAACATTGATTTCTGTCATGGAAAATAATTAACGTTAATTTTGCAAAACTTCCCATTCACAGTCTGTGGCTTTGGAAGCCATCTCTGTACTTTCTGCAGCTGTTCAAAGTTAAAATTTCACGAAGTTTTTCGTGTGCTCCTGTAAAACCCTCATGACGAGGAGGTGGTGTGTGATCCTGTTCCGAGAACAGTGTTCTTGAGTCGCGTTCCTGCCGTTCAATCGCGAGAACAAGGAACCCGAGTCAAGAACAGGCCGCCTGAACTCGACCATGTGTCGGAGAGCGGAAGGTCAATTTCAGTGCCCTGCACTAATTGGAGACTTTGAAACGCTTGGTGGCGACAAACATACAGGTCCTGTTTACTAGTTCTGAGCATCATTGTGTGCATGCGCGCATAGATCTGACCACGTGCAATACCTTGAAAAAAGACCTGTATGTCTGCTGCCACCAGCGTCTCAAGGTCTCTCATTCAAGTACATCATGCAAACATGTTTGTGCATGTACATGTACAGTACATGAACACTGCATTCGGTACAATAATTTCTGCTGAGCTCATTAGCATAAAAGATGTCCCCACAGTTTATTTTGAAAACGAAGATTGTTTAACCCCAAAAAATGCAGGGATTAATTGTACAAATATACCAAGAGAATGAGCTCCCTGGGCTTGGGGCATTCATCTGCCGGCCGAGTTGATATTATAAATACGATCATTGAAAACGGTCCTAGTGCCCGAAAAGTATTTGACCAACGGCTGTAGGAGGAGGCTTGGGAACGATTATTTTCGGGGGTTGGTCGTTTTGTGTGAATAAATGAAAATTTAATTGGATAACCACTAAAAATGCACAGAAAGTGAGAGTTTTTTTTTAAATACAAACAGTATACACTTAACAAATACACAAAACAAAACAAAACAAAACAAAACAAAAAACAAAACGAAACGAAACGAAACGAAACGAAACAAAACAAAACAAAACAAAACGAAACGAAACGAAACGAAACGAAACGAAACAAAACAAAACAAAACAAACAAGAGGAGATATAGACACGAAGATGACAAATACTACAGTTCAAAGGTAAAGATGAACTGGGAAAGATGAAATAAATCAGCCTTCCAATCGAAAACAAAGCAAAACAGTGTCAACTGTAAAATCTGAATTTGTTTTCACGGCTCAGTTGACTTGACATCTATGCCTGGTTCGATTCGCTTGAGTACGGGGAGGAGACACATCAGAAAGGCACAGGCAAATGCGATACCCCCAAGCACGTAGAAAACTGCCTTGTAACTTGCTGTAACATCAAACACCCAACCGGCTGCCACTCCTCCCAACAATGCCCCTATACCAACACAGGTGCTGTAGATGCCAAAGCAAACGGAAAACTGTAGATCTCCAACGTACTGCCGAGTCAAAACAATGCAGACGGAGTACATCACACCACTCGACAAGCCGAGGAGGAAGGAAACGACGGACATACACACGAAGCTATCGGCGTTCATGAGGAACAGCGAAGTACCAGTCACAGCTGCAGAGATGGAGCAGACAGTCTCAGCTGACAGCTTCCAGCTGATGACCAGCCCGTTGCCAAGGCGACCCAGGAGGCTACCAATGCCGTTCAACGTGAGCAGCAGCGCAGCCACAGAGGGCGTGATGTCAATACTCTGCGCCCGGGGAATGATGAAGGGTGCGGATCCCGAGAAAGGAATGATGCACACGATTCCAAGAAAGCACAGCAGGCCAAAGCGATAGCTCTTCCGGAAAATAACCAGTCCCAATGCAGATGCTATCCTACTTCCAAGAGGGACTTTGAGTCTTAGTTCATCGTTGGTGGTTGGGATAGGAGTGTATGCACATAAATATATGTTTTGATCACTTCTGTGCATCTCTGCATCGATCATCTCAACATCTCGTGTACCAACATGAGTTTCAGTTTCTCTGTCAGCTTCAGCATCATTTTCTTGCCCGGGATGAACCTCTTGCACCGAAGAACTCTCTCTCTTTTCCCGGTCAAGCTCGTTTTGGGACGTGTTGCCCAGTTCTGTCTTTCGGAGCGTGCGAGATGGCCGAAATAGCGAAGCGAAGACGACAGCGTTTGCTGTGATCGCAGCGATGACCAGTATCGCCCCTCGCCATCCGTAGCTGGTTAGAAGGAACTGGACGAGAGGTGGCGCTGCCATTTTCCCCGTTCCGCGGCCGGAGTACATTAGGGCGTTGGCTGTCCTGTAGCGCTGTTTGATATTCTGAGCGACTGCAACCACTGAAACGTTGACAAGAATTCCCAAACCAACGCCTGAAAAGCCAGGGGAAAATCCTCGATGAAAGTAAAAGTATGGGAGCACGTGTCTGGGACTATTTAAGTGACACCTGCAAGTACTGATTTCTTCTTTGATTATCTTTAATAATAGTAATTTCAATCAGCCTATTACGAACGAGCCCCTATTGTGAATGGCTACCAACTATGTTTCCACTTTCCCCACCAACATGGCTCTTTTCAACCGATGAGGGGGTGCTTCTTCTCAAGACGAATAACAAGGGCGAGTAAGAACAAAATGGCGGAATATTCCACGCCTTATGAAAACACTTGTGTGGTAAAGGTTTGAGAGACTGGATATTTCCTGGTCATTTTCGAGCTAAAAAACTAACATGTAGGCCTAAAGCGACAAACCATGAAAACCAAGCGATATCTCACTAAAAGAATCCACAATGTTCTACATACCATTTAGAGCAGCTGTGATGTACAACTGGTAGATACTGCGTACCCAGGCGCTCCCGAACACACCAAGGACTGCCAACAGTCCGCCAACGATTCCAGTCATTCTGCAGCCGAAGCGTTTAACCATTAAACCGCCGATCAGACCTGTATGTATATGAAATAAAAATTCCGAAAAGATTTAAATCAAGATTCTGTTTCAAAAAATTCCACTGCAAGGGCCCATATCGGTCCATTGTTTTTTTTCTTGAATGTGTTTCCTTACCACAGGAGCAGCTGAGAGACCAAGCAATGCTCTGGACAGCAGCTGTCTGCTTAGCGCTCGTCTCAAACTCCTCCCTCCATCTCAGATAGAAGACTTCAGTAGTCCGCAGGGAACACTCCACGAGGGCCAGGTTTAAGTGGGCAGCAATGATGATGACAATCGCCCATATACTCCCCTGGGTAGGAGGGCCGAAACGCACCGAAGTCCTGCGTGTTATTTCCATTGCCTTTAGTGAGGTACTGGGACCGAAACATAGCACAAGTTTGGTTCAATAATCTGCACACCAGATTAAGTTATTACTTCTAACTCCGGCGTTATGATGTTAACTTGTAGATCGAATGATTAAGATAGGGAAAACGTGTGGCATAAAAGAACTTTGAAGTCCTACGTGCGCGTGTGTTTATGTTGCGAACATAATCTAGGATTAGATGTGACTGCTGAGACTAGTTTTTCCTTTGCTCTGGCGTCTTTAGATTCCTTGCAATAAAGCTCACGCACTCAGAAAATGCTTTTGTCAAAGTGACTGGATGCGACCATGACAAACATTGCAGTTCCAACTCTGCACAACCAATGATCCCCCAACATAGAAACTAGCTGCACCTTCAGTGACACAAACAATGTGACAAATGAAAAAGAGTTTCATGCAAAATGTGACAACCAAACAGGAAATTCACCTATTTCGTCGAAGAGCAGGCCCACAGTTGATACAGTCACCGTAGAGGTCAGACCGAGTATGAATGCAAAGCTACACTGAACCAACGACTTCGTAAAATCCCGTTCCATATTTTCTGTATTCCCCACACATGACGTTTCCATTTCTGCATCTAGTTGGCTACGGCTAGGCTGGAAATAAAACAAGTGCTAAAGGGAGCCCATGAAAAGTGCCGTTGACCTTTTACCCTTGTCTGGGTCCAATGGTTTAGGTTTCGTGTACGTGACGACGCTGCAAATAAGTTGACTCGCCCAAACAACCTATCAGTGTGAACTTTGCTTTGTGACCATCAGTACATTCTGGGAACGGCTTAAAAATGCCGAACCTGAACAGTGCTGAACAAATGGAAACGGTAACGAAGATATGATCGCTGAGGTAGTTAGCATGTTCATTTTGTTCATGATCCCTGGTTATAACGTACTCTTCCGAACGAGCGATACTCAAAATATTTTTAGTCGAATATGCTTTAATTACGATGCGACGCTATTGTCCACTTGTTCTTTACACTAAAAGCGCAAATCTACCAGGTCATAAACCATCGTGGAAAATACCTGTTAATTTTTATTTGTAATCGAAGGTTTGTGCTTTTCGTAATAGATAATAAGCCATTAAGTGTAGTCCCGTTCTCCGTCAAGAAGTTACTATACGACGGAAAATATGCAGAAAAATAGACAATTCGTATAAACTTTGTCGTGAGTAAAACAAATTAGCAACAGAATCAATTAGGAAAGGTGTGAGTACATGTATATGAAATTCCATACAAACGAAGAGGAGATATAAATTCAAATGATAAACATGGAAACAGCATCAAAGATGAGCACACAAAATGAAAATAAACCTCCATCCAAAGAAAACCAAAGCAAAATGTTCTTGACTGTGAATGAACAGTTCATTTTTTTCATGCCTCAGTTGACTCGAAATCTTTGCCAGGTTCGACTCGCTTGAGTACCGGGAAGAGAAACATGAGTATAGCGCAGCCGAACTCGATGCCCCCTAGCACGTAGTAAACTGTCTTGTAGCTCGTTGAGATATCAAACACCCAACCTGTGAAATTGATAGAAATGGTAATCAGTTAAACGCTGGGTACATCAAAGTATGAATCCTGTGACCTTGAAGTTTCACAAGAGACGTTTATACAAATTCTGCCGCAGTGAACTTTTCGTTCTTGGATGGAGCGATAGGCTTCAAATTGTCTCTTTACACAAAGGCCGTATCTGAATCTGTTGTCTAGAGCTTGGGCTAGGTCTTCACTCCATTGGAAATACGCACAGACAATAGACCTAGCCGTAGTTCTGGAAGCCCGTTTCGGACACAGCCTAAACAACATTTTGGCTCTCACTTTGGCAAATTCTCCGACGCTTGCCGGGTGCCAAATGTTATTTCTTATAACAATAAATGTCATTATAATCTTACAAAACTTGGCATAATATGCAGCGGTATCAAGCACGGATTTATCTTCGTGTTTGACAGGTTTCAAGACCCTAACCTGACCAATTCTCAATATCTCCAAAAGGTTACAGGTGGATTCTATCTCATTTTATAGAATACGTTCAACTCTCAGTCAAGTGGGAGATTTCAACGCATGTATTCCACTGTGAAATAAAGTTTCGAATCACCCCCGTTAGATTTTTGATCCCATTCAACTAATTAATGATAATGCTTTGATAAAAATGTTTACGTAATACCTGCTGTTACTGGTCCCAACAATCCCCCGATACCACTGCAAATGTAGTAAATGCCTAAGCAAACGGAGAACTGTCGACTTTCGACGTATTTCCGGGTCAAGACAATAAAGACGGCGTACATCACACCTGTCGATAAGCCGAGGAGAAAGGAACCGACTGAAAAACACGCATAGCTATCGGCGTTCATAAGGAGCAGCGAGGCACCAGCCACAGCCGCGCAGCCGGAGCAGACGATCTCGGCCGACAGTTTCCCGCCGATGAGCAGACCGTTGCTGAGGTGACCCACCAGTACACCGATGCCGTTCACTGTGAGCATTGACGCGGCACTGGGAGGTGTCACGCCGAAGCTCAGTGCCCGGGGAATAATGAAGGGTGTAGATCCGCAGTACGGAATAGCTGACACTATTGAAACAAGACATAGCAGGCCGAAGCGATAGCTCTTCCGGAAAACGTCAAGTCCCAACGCAGATGTTACCCTGCTCAGGAGAGGGACTTTGAGTCTTTTATCGCTTTTTACGGTTTGGGGTGGAGTATACGTGCGTACATTTCTCTGTTGAGAACTTGTGTAAAGCTCATAATCGTTCATGTCAGCATCCAATGTAGCAGGAGAAGTAGCAGCTTCCGTTGCCGTGGCAACCTCACCTCCATTTTCTTGTTCTGCTTGAGTCTGTCCCTCCAAAGAATTCTCTTCCTTTTCCAAAGAAAGAAAGTCTTTATTTGAGTTTGCGTTCAGTTCTGTCTTCTCAAGTGGAGTTGGCCGAAAGAGCAAGGTCAATGCAATTGTGTTTGCCATCATTGCGGAGATGATCAGCAACGCTCCTCGCCATCCGTAGCTGTCTAGAAGAAACTGGACGAGAGGTGGCGCTGCCATTTTCCCCATCCCACATCCAGAATACGTCAGTGCGTTGGCCATTCTATAGCGCTGATTGAATTTCTGGGCGACCGCAACTAGTGAAGCGTTCAGAACGATTCCCAAACCAACACCTGTAACGCCGGCAAAAATAACGACGGCCAATGAAAGTAAGGGGCACCAGGGGTGGGTTTCTTGGACTGTGTTAACTTTGCAAAAATCTTTTAAAAGGAAGTTCCTGTTGATCTCCTATACATCCGACAAAAATGTGGAACACAATTGAAGCATTTTAAAGAAATGATTGAACATCCTCCTTGATTGGAACACACCTGTGCAATGTATATTATGCCCAAAGTGATAAACAAAAATGATTGACGGAGAAAGCTGAAGCGTACTGTTATGCCCCTTGCGTACCATTTAGAGCAGCTGTGATGTACAACTGGTAGATGCTGCGTACCCAGACGCTCCCGAACACACCCAGGACTGCCAGCAGTTCCCCAACAATTCCAGTCATTCTGCAGCCGAAGCGTTTGACCATCAAGCCTCCAATCAGTCCTGCACGTTTTTGATGAAACAAAGCATCATTTGAAAGAACAATACATCAAATTTATGATATCAATTCGGGCGGATTCATGTAAGACCAAAGGCCAGAACAACTCAGCAGAAATCGACGGAGGGAATCAAAGGGATGGTTCGCAGAAATCGCTCTAGCGTTTTCTGCTTTCTGTTGTCACTTTTGAAGTGAATTTACTTCAAAAGTGTATTTTTCTGTCTTAGCCGTTTTCTGCAGCCACAGAGTGGGGTTGTGTCAACAAGACACTCACTTCATCTGTCCAACAAATGCCTGGAATTTCTTCCTTGACAGGAAAGATCAAATAAGGAGAGCATGACACCTCTCCACAGGTTCTATTAATTGAGGCTTCTGCTGCAAAAGTGCTTCAGCATGACTTTTATTGTAAAACCTTATTGCCTGTTTCGGACGTTTTAAGTGGGCTCGCTGGGCGTGTTCCCATCAAAATAAGAGAAAACAGATTAACAACGGTTCTTTTCCGGGATTGGAACTACTAGACCTGCTGTAAACCCCAAAGCGCTATTCCACGAAATCGCCCTCCCCTCAGTACTTCTTATCTTGTGTCCTCACAAAATTTAATAATGCTGATCTCGCTGTTGCCTTATTGTAGTGCATATTATAATATGTTACCTGCTAGACTGTAGCGTTGCAGCTGGTGAATAATACAGTATTGCGGAACAGGTGGACGTTATACGAATGCCATAAAAAATTGGTGTTTGCAGCTGTAAACACTCTTTTTTTCCCCCGACCCATTTTGGTGAACTTCCCCGGATATCACCACAGTGTTTGCATGAGTATTGTGAAGATTGAAACTGTGATACCAACACGGCAGCAGGGGGCTGGTGGGCCCAAGGATGCAAATGAATGAATCTACTGGACAATAGGCCAGAAGAAAATTCCTTTACCACTGCAAAAGGTCAGGGACGACATGATGCTCTGGACGGCAGCTGTCTGCTTAGCGCTCGTCTCAAACTCGTTCCTCCAGCTCAGGTAGAGGACGTCATTAGCCCGCAGACAGCACTCCACGAGGGCAAAGTTTAAGTGGGCTGCAATGACGATGGCTATCGCCCATATGCTGTCCCGGGTCGGAGGGCAGGAACGAACCGAAGTCATGCGTGAAGTCGCCATTGCAAGTTTTATCTTAGGCACTGGCAATGAATACAGCCCATATATTAGTTAATAATCTACACACACTAGACTACGTTTGAATTATAAACTTCAGAGACAGTCTTAATAGTCATTGGCGTATGGAATGTTGAGAGGAAGTGAGCTCTTGCCAAATAGAACTTTGAAGTCCTGTTAATACAAGAGTTGACGTTATGAAAATGATACTGCTTAAGAAGAAGGTAGGCGATTGTTCAGATAGAGGAAGGGTTCTGGCGTTGATTAGGATCACTAGCACAAAGTTCCGTTTCAAACGAATAACTTTTGCTGTATCTAATTCAACGAATTACAATCGACTTAACTGCTTCAAACGTCGATTTTCTGTTGAACGTAATGCAGTCTTTCGACAAGACACACCATCTCTGATCAAATTTGTTGCAGGTGATTTTTAAAGGAAATTTTTGATGATCTGTTCAATACGTCTGCAGCTCCTCCTTCCAAGAGAAAATGTCACAACCTCCACTGATATGGTCGGATCGGCTGACTATGATGCTAAATACGAATTCAGAGAAAATGATTCAAAAGGCAGCCTCGGCAATGTTCATCTCTCACACAAGGTTGGTAAATGCTTCGAACCCCGACTTTCTGCCAGGCCTAATTCAAACTTTGCACTATTATTTGAACTTGAACTCAGACAATAGGGCCAACGGATGCATATAGAGGGATGAACGTTACCGTTGGAACTTTGCACAACCAATATCCGTCGTACATAAACCTAGATGCGCCTGCAGTCACTCAAAAAAAAGGGTAAATGAAAATATGAAAAACGGGAAACAACCTGTTTCATCGAATAGTAGGATCGCTGAATCGCTATCACAGTAAAATCAGTATGCATGCAGAGCTACACCGAACCGTCGTCGTCATGAGATCCTGGTTCCCCCTGTCCTGTATTCACAAACGTGGTGTCGTTGATCGCATGATTTCGGCTACGGCTAAAACAAGAACGCATACACGTCAACAGAAGCCCCTAGCCATTTTCCTTAGACTTAGGTAATTTGCACAAAGATTGACGTGTCCATAGAGCCCTTGGACTTTGTATTGCCTATCTGAGTCCTGTTGCTAAAGTTTGCGTGTGTGACAATGCTGCTACTAACTTGACTTGTCAAAACAATATGCCGATACGACCGTACCCTTAGGACCTTTGTTCCCTTATGCAGACGACTTTATGCACATGGAAACTGGTCAACAGAATGAACACCTAAGCATTGATAAGGTATATTATTAGCATCTTGACTATCTTTATGGTGTGCACTCCAGCGCCAAAGGGGTAATACTTGGAGTATTCGAAGTCAAAGATGCGTTTACTCTTACGATAAGGTAATCGTGAACCCTAAAAGAGCCGGGTTATTTTTGCTCATCTCACAGCTGGGGGGCAACAACTTGGCTTTGTCTTGTTACATTTGTGGAATCTCGGCAAGCATGTTCCCTTATTATCAATACAAATGTGAATTTTGAACTCAGACGTATAATTTTGTTGATAGGTTCATTTGGAATTCTAGGCTACACGCTCACCACGCTCCAGCGTGCTACACGCTTGCCACGCTCCAGCGTGCTACACACTTGCCACGCTCTAGCGTGCTACACGCTTGCCATGCTCCAGCGTGCAGCCCGCGTGCATTGAGCACGGCAGTGGAAAAAGTATACATTTTAGGCTCTATTGTCTTGGGAAAAACGCGCGCTGCGCAATAGTGGTAATCCGTTTTTTACAAAAAAGGTGTCCAAATGACTGAAACGATATACCCCAATACTCCCAAAGGATTAACTTCCTAAAATAATGCACCAACGCGAAATGTTGAGGGGGCGGATTCGGATTCCGGCTCTTTTGAAGTTAAATGGTATCAGTGTTTTGATTCGCCACCTTAACCATAAGCTCTAAGCTATCCCCCAATAATCTAGTTTAATTTCTATCTAATTTAACATTGGAATGTTTGCAGTTTTGTTTTATAATCAGCCCGCTCGTGAAAATATAGGCCATTTAGTTGTTAATTAAAAGATGTTTGGGTTCCTTACTTTCTGAATACACAATGTTTTAATCTTGCATGCGATGTCACGTCAAACGGCAGGCCAATAGAAATGACTGGTAGGCCTTGCAACTTTTTTTCCCAAACACTTTACTATCTTTGGGTCTTCCTTGAAACAAACAAACCACCCCTGCGAATGAGTGATTGGAGGCAAAAACGTGGGAAATATTTTCGCAAATAGAACACAGAGACCCATCCGTTTTCTTCATGAGGAATCATTACGCAAGTACGATGGCCTGAAAGGGACCTCGGTTCGCACGACTCTGCATGAAGAGTATCCCATTCCAATTCGCTTCGTAAAACTGATGCCGATGCTCTGGATGGAATCTTCAGAATAATGTGTCTAGCTCTATTCATGATTACATCTATGGAGCCAAGGAGGTCGAATGAAAGCAAAGGAAACCCCTTTATGCCGTGCACATAGGTATAGCAAAATTCATCCAATTACTTTTGGAACATTTTAGACCATACTGTTGAATACTATAGGCATAGGTGCTGTTTCTTAATTTAAATTATACCACTTGTGTACACTTAACAAATACAACTGGTTATCCTCGTCTCCTGGATTGACACCTAGGCTAAGCGTGTTACGAAATGCATTTTTAATAGCAGTCAAGCCGACAGGGAGATAAAGCTTACAATAGGTTACATAAGGCTTAGAAAACACAGAAATAAACGATAGAATCATCAAGTCTACAAAATACATCGGTGAAAGACATAATCAGAAAAGACGCCAAGAATGCAAAATTCATAATGTTGTGGCCTGTGGTTACGTCAGCGCCCTGATGGGGTGAGAGCTAATTAATTATGCAGCGTGCTGGCCACTTTGTGCCTTGTGCGGACAGAGCCTCAACATCCACAGTAGCAAATAGTCTCTCGGAGTCCACATTCCATTACTTTATTTTGGTGATACTCTTTATTTATCCTCGATTGTGAAGAACTAATTTATAAGCACTGTTTCGTTGATAATCAGTGCTGATTCCAGTGTATGCAACGGTTGAGGGTAATTACACTGAGCGGTTTTTTATGAATGGCGGAGCAATATACATGTATTTAGTCACGGCTTTGTGGCTGTGGCTGTGGGCGTTGGGTGTTCTCAAACTTTCCAGAGTGCGGTCTTTTATCGCCACTTCGAACTGAGCAACGACCAGGTAAAAAAAATTCCTTGCTTTCGGTACCTTTTCTAGGTTATGTCACTTCACTTGTATCATCGTGACCACTGATCGCCATAGAGCATATTAGTTAGTATTATACTTGAGGCTAATGACATTTTAAGTCATTTTGGGAGTGTTTTCTTAATCGTATTTGTGGGATTCCTTCACAATAGATTTCTATGCCTCACACGTTACGCATTGACAATACATGCCACGTTGCATTACTGTTGTATATACTGTGCATGGTAGACCTCGCGTGTGACGTACGCGCTGTTTATTATAGAACAGCGCATGCGTGGAACTGCGCTTTGCATCGGTGGGGCATGACAACTTTATCCGTGGTTAAACTTTCCTGGGCTTTCTAGAATTATACAACGTACATTCCCAATGCAAATATATATGCTTATGGATATTGTTATTGATATCGTTTATATACCTGTACTTGAATGTACTGTATTGTGTTTTTGACAGCAGCTCGTGACTTTTGGGGCTTAATTGCCTGCATGCTCAGACTGTCGCCAGTAAACCTAGCTCTAGAACTCATCACTGTCTGATGAGCTACCACACCGGGGTAATTTATCAAAGTGCATATGTTATATTTCAATTACATGTTTTGCAAGACCACTTTTGTAACTCCGAGAATAATAACTATTGTGTGACTATATTGTACTTGTTTGTACTTATTGTATTGTTTCTTTAGTTTTAACAGCTATATAATTATTTTACATGCAAGGTTTGTTGTGGCGTGCAAACTCCAATGCTGAAATGAGACTGATGAGCCATTTGGAACAAATTCTTGATCGCATATCCCGTGTCTGACTCATCCTAGGGGGAGTGTTCTTGGTGCCTCATCATCCAATACTGGAGGATGGACCTACCACCCCATCACCAGGGGCGGCCTAGCAATCCACGTCTGGTAACAATAACAAACCATGAGTAAATATAAAAACCAAATGTCAAACATGGGAGTAGTGGGGGGGGGGGACAATCCAGCACAGTTTGACCTTTAACCTAGAAAAGGGAAAAGGTCACGAATAATGCACATTATAATAATATGATATTGATATGAATAGGAATGAAAATGCGTGAAAATTTATGGCACAAGATGACCTTTTGTACGGGATAGGAATATAGCATAGGGTCAGAAAGTCTAGTATGACCTTTAGTAAGGGATGACCTTTTGTACGGGATAGGAATATAGCATAGGGTCAGAAAGTCTAGTATGACCTTTAGTAAGGGATGAAAAATGCATGTATGTGCCATAAATTTTAACGCATTTTCAGTCCTATTTATATCAATATCATATTATTATACTGGTGCATATTACTGACCTTTTCCCTTTTCTAGGTCAAAGGTCAAACTGTGCTGGACAGTTCCCCCCCCCACTACTCATGGATACAGTACAGAGGTAAAGATGAACATGCAAAATGGCTCAAACATTCCTCAAAACAAAACACAAAGGGAAACGTTGTCAGTGGTGAATCTGAATTTTTCATGTCTCAGTTGACTTCAAATCTATGCCTGGTTCGACTCGCTTGAGTACCGGGAAGAGAAACATTACAACGGCACAGGCAAATGTGATGCCTCCCAACACGTAGAAAACTGCCTTGTAGCTCGCTGTAACATCAAACACCCAACCTGTGAAAAGAAAGGGAAGGACAGGATGGAGAGAAACTAATTTAACTGAACTTTGACACTCTCCTCTCATTTTTTAAAGTTCCGTACCTTTCGGTTTAAATGCACTGAAAAATTCACTTTTAGAAACATTTTAAAATTTATCTATGCTTTCCGGGACTCTTAAGGGCGCTTTTGCTGTGGTGCCTTCCAGGGATGACAAGTTCAGTGCATGGGCTCGTCTGTTCAAATTATAATTCCAGAATGTACCTACTGAAAACAAGTCAGAGAAATGAATTTGTGCTTGCTTATTGCTCTTCAGAAAATCTACAATGAATCAGCAAAAATCTACAAATAATGCAGGGCTTGTGTGCATAAACTAATATTACATTTTATTTTTTCTGTGATGACATCACAGCCTTGCTCATGAATATGGATTAACTCATTGGCATAAAAACAAAGAAAGCAGTAAAACGGCCCTTGAAACGGTTAAACTAAAGTTGAAAATAAGGTTAATCCTGCTGAGAAACAAAGGTGTATTTTGAAGGTTTGTATCAAAACCAGTTGATAGCAACTACCCTTTGAATTTATACCTGCTGTTACCGCTCCAAGCAATCCACCGGTACCAACGCAGATGTAGTAAATTCCTAAGCAAACGGAGAACTTTCCACTTCCAACGTAATGCCGAGTTATGACAATGAAGACAGAGTACGACATACCGCTCGATAAGCCGAGGAGGAAGGAAGCGACAGACAAACACGCGTGGCTGTCAACGTTCATAAGGAACAGCGAAGTACCAGCCACGGCTGCACAGATGAAGCAGACGATCTCAGACGAGAGCTTCCAGCTGATGACCAGCCCGTTACCAAGGCGACCCAGCAGGCTACCAATGCCGTTCAACGTGAGCTGCAGCGCGGCCTCAGAGGGCGCGACGCCAATATTCTGCGCTCGGGGAATGATGAAAGGCCCGTGTCCCAAGAAAGGAATGGCGGTTGCGATTGCAAGAAGACAAAGCAGGCTAAAGCGGTAGCTTTTCCGGAAAACATCAAGTTCCAGTGCAGATGCTATCCTTTTCAAAAGATTGACTTCAGGTCTTGGTTCAGTATGGTTGGATTCTAGAAGAGCATGTGTACGTAAGTTTCCATTTTCAGCACTTCTACGCATCTCTGAATAGTTCATCTCAGCATCCCTTACGTCTCTTGTACCATAAGGAGTTTCGGTGTTGATTCCTCTCTCAGCTTCAGCTCCATTCTCTTGTGCGGGATGAGTCTGTTCCTTCGAGAAATGCTCTTCCTTTTCCCAGGAAAGCTTTTCATGTGAATTGGCGTCCTGTTCTGCCTTCTCAAGCATGCGAGGTGGCCGAAAGAGCAAGGCGAATGCAACGGTGTTCGCCATGATTGCAGAGATGATCAGCAACCCCCCTCGCCATCCGTAGTCGGCTAGGAGAGACTGAACAAGAGGTGGCCCTACCATATACCCCATCCCGCAGCCAGAGTGAGCGAGGGCGTGGGCTGTCCTGAAGCGCCGCTTGAAATTCTGGGCGACTGCAACCACTGAAGCATTGACAATAATTCCCGACCCAACGCCTGAAACGCCGGGAAAATAAAACAAAATATTTGATGAAAGTGTAAGTAGCAGGTAGTGCGTTTCATGAACAATCTTAGTGACATCCGCAAATATTGATTTCTTCTTTGAATTTGTTATTTAGTGAATTTTTTTTTTTTACCTAGATATGTCGGCCCCAAGTCGACCTATTATGAAAAAGCGCCGTAAACGACCAAGGCAGGGCGCACTTTTCCCAGCAGTGCAAGTACCTTCAGCACAACTCACGCGTCACCCAGTGCCCCGAGCAGGGTCCTGGGAAGGGCTGATGGCCTTGCACAGATTTTAGTGAAGAAAACAGGGTCACAGTTAATGGCGCGCAGGGCACTGTGGGTAAATTTCTGAAGGGCGCACGAGCTCGCTCAGTGCGTGACATAAGCGGCAGTTATCAATTCGAAATTCTTCCTCATTGCTCAAAATATTCTCACTACACTTTATTCGATCATCCAAAATTGATCTAGGTAACCAGTGATTTGAAATACATGGCTAAAAGACACGTGATCAGTGTACTTACTGCGAAGATAAATTACCACACTGTGATTGTACCAAGGCCATGTTTTTTTCATGATATAGCCGACACTTTGCCCGTGCCAAAGCGTTGCCATTGACGAACCCAAAAAATCGAACACCGCTTCACTAGCAGGAAGGGCTGACCTCGCGGTCACAGGTCATGAAAAATGTAGCCAATCACAGAGCAAAGTCATCAGGCCTTTCCAGCGGCCTGTTCGGGCCCTGGGCTACCAGCGAATCAGCTGAATTGTACTACGCCGGTTCACGAATGACTATGGGATGCACGCGTTCCTGTGCGTCGCTACCAGCAAAATCAATACTTGCCACCAACATGGCTTTTTTCAACTGACGAGAGGGTGATGCTGCTCAAGGCAGACAGCGAGGGCGAGAAAGAAGGAAAACGGAACATTTAAAAGAAATGATGGAATGTGCGTTTAGTGTTAAATACACCTTTACAGTCAACATTTTTGAAACTGGTTATTTCTTTGTCACTCCGAATCACCTTCAGACCCCGATCGACTGAAAAATGACAACTGAGCTCTATCAAACCGCCTCAATTCTACACGTAGAATTGCAGCAACTCACCATGAATTATGGTTGTGATGTACAGCTGGGAAATGCTGCGTACCCAGGCGCTCCCGAACACCCCAGTGACTGCAAGCAGTCCCCCAACAATTCCAGTCACTCTGCAGCTGAAGCGTTTGATCATTAAGCCACCGATCAGACCTGTATATATGTATATACATATTTGTGTGGAAACAAAACATCACTCGGAACCAGAACGTATTGATATTGGGGCGCCGATTCACGTCAGACTGAAGGCCAGAAAACCTCAGCAGAAATCGACAGAGGAAAGGGAAGGGTTCACAGATGAAATAGCTAGAGCGTATTCGGCGTGATAACTGCGCTTCTAGACTTAATGAAAAAAAAAGAAGAAAAACGGGAAGAAAAAAAGGAGCTAGTTACGTGATCGGGTTCCACTTTAATAAAGGACTCATTTCTAAGAGGCGGTTTACTGTATAAACCTGAGACTTGGCACAGGCATGCACTCTGACCGTTAAAAGCGTGTGACATTACGTCGATGTCATTTGGCATATTACAAGTGATTTCAGTCTCGAAAATGAAGAAATTGGAGCCTCATATATTATTAGTTATTTTTATTCATTTTTACGGTAATTCCTTGTTCCAAATGACGTCACACTTTGTTCCTCTATACATCAGTTACATTTTGCTACAGTTTTTCGAAATTGTCGGTTTTTTAGTTTATTTACATTGACTATATATAATGATCCATTTATTTCAATGCTGCCGTAACTCAGCAAGAATGATACATGACATTATCTCCAGGCAAACATGAATTCTTAATTCTGATTGATCGATCCATGACAACAAGCAGTTTGATATGTAACTGTATTGCATGGTTCATATCAAACCTCACATAACGCGCGCTTCTAACTCAACGCACTCTGCTATTTTTGCGCTAAGCGTCAAACGCACAACTACAAAATTTACTTTTAATTCAAAGGTGCAGCATTTACTCGCATGGGCCCATATCTTTATGTTCTTTATGTTATTTCAATGCGATTCTGTCATTCTGTTATATTACAGTATATTATCATCAAGTTAGACATACCAGATTCAACAAAAATATTCATATCTATAACTTTTGAAATGAAAGGGGTAGCATGTTCATATTTTGACACCTGATAAGGCTATAACTTTGGTAATTTTACTGTTCAAAGCAGAAATTTGGCAACCTCGATTTTTGGAAGTTTTACCTTGAATGTGGAATTTGCTGACAGAAGAGCAATAATGGTATTTTGGCCAGTAAGATATCTGAGGGATTTCGCTCACTATGAAGGCCAAGATGTTTTTACCTATATACAGCTTTTTCCAGAATGTGCAAACTGTTGGCTTTCTTCTTTGCTAGAGGATAACAATTTTGACAATGGGTGGCAGGCTGGTAACCAGGAGACTGTTGGAGAGCAACCGGTACAATACGCGGGGGAAGCTGTAACGTGTGCACTAGATGTCCACTTTCAAAAGGAATCCTGCTTGTACCATTAAAAACGTCCAGTGGTAACAATAACCCAAGAACTCAATAGGGCAAATCATGGGAAAGGGCTCGCTGGGATTCTAGATTTGCGAATTCTGGGATTCTAGAAAGAAGTGTATCTTTCATTCTGTAGTTTTTATTCAAACCAAGGGAAACCCGAAAATGCATTTTCCTTCTTGTATTTTAGGCAATAATGTCACAGCACGATACAATTGCCCAAGATTTTCTCACCACATATGGAAAGACCAATGTTGACCCTAATCACAACCAAAAGAAAAAAAAACCACTTGACAAAGGAGTCCTCTGCTAAGTTGAAGTTTTGAGGGGCAACAAAAGGGTAAAAATGTCAATTTTGCAAGCTGTAAAAATTTATTTCAATGGAAGCTGTTAAAAAAGCATAAGGGTGAATCTGATAGCAATTTTTTTTTTCAAATTGAGGCAAGGATGTTGCTTAAGTGGTATATGAGTGGCTTTGTGAAATATTTTTGCATTTTGGTTAGGTGTTCTTTTTCTTCTATTTAACCCCCCCCCACAACGGAAAGAAAAAGAATCCCATATCATACAGACCCATATTGAAAGTGTTCTGTTACCACAGGAGCAGCTGAGAGACCAAGCGATGCTCTGGACAGCAGCTGTCTGCTTAGCGCTCGTCTCAAACTCCTCCCTCCATCTCAGGTAGAAGACTTCAGTAGTCCGCAGGGAACACCCCACGAGGGCCAGGTTTATGTGGGCAGCAACGACGATGAAAATCGCCCATATACTCCCCTGGGTAGGAGGGCAGGAACGCACCGAAGTCCTACGTGTTGTTTCCATTGCCAGTTTTTATCTGAGGCACTGGGATTAATATACAGCATACGTATCTCTTGGTGAGTTTTTAACTCTTGGAACTCTGGGGATTACTCTCAATGTTTATGTGTGTACTGAATGTAGAGGAGACATTGACCTCTTTCACAACCAACTTTCGAGTCCTGCGTATACATGTGTTAATGTTGGGAGCAATATTTTGCATCAAATGAATGATGAAACTAGGTTTTCCAATGCTCTGGCATCTTTAGATTACTTGAAATAAGGTTCATAAACTCAGAAAATGCTTTTGCGACAAACATTCCACAAGGAAGTCTGCACAACCAACATCCTAAGTAATTAACGTTAGCTGCACCTTCAGTGATATTAACACTAACTGTGAATAATGGAAACCAAAAGTACATGTACTGTGCAAAATGTCAAACAATCGAAAATCACCTGTTTCATTGAAAAGTAAGCCCGTCGTTGGTACAAAGTCGCAGTAGAGATCGGAGAGGGTATACCTGTAAAGCTATGCCGAACCGACCACTTTATGAAATCCCCTGTTGGTCTTCTACACGCACACATTTAGTTTCCGTGTTGTCACTGACAAGTTACTCGGCTACGGCTGGGATTGATGCATACATCAATGGAAGCCCCAAATACACGGCCGCAGCCATTTCTCATAGATTTCTGTGCCTTTGCTAGCCGCAGCCAGGTTATTCGTACAAGGCCAACATGTGCCCTGACAAAGAGCCCCTTGACCTTTTACCCCTGTCTGAGTGCAACTGTTTAAATGGTTTCAAGTGTGTTACGATGCTGCAATTAAGTTGACTCGCCAAAGCAGCAAATCAATATGAACTTTGGTTTGCAACCATCGGTACTGAGGGAACATTCTGGGAACGGCTTGAAATGCAAAGACTGAACAATGCTTAAGATATGGAAATGGATAGAGGGGACATTGATGCTGAGGAAGTTACCATCTTGATTTTGTTCATAATCCCTAGCTATTTTATTGTGTGCACTTGGCCGTACGAGTAATATTCCAAGTTTTTTCAGTCGAATATGAATTTATTATACGACACAATACTCTCCCGTGTTCTATTCATTAAGTGCGCAAACCTTCCCGGCGGTCATAAACCATCACGGAAAATATTAGGTTAAATGGTATAATCGAAGGTTTGAACTCTTTTGGTAGTGGATAATAAGCCATTTAGTGTAGTTACATTCTCCATGAAATAACGCAAAAGACGCAGAAAAATAGACAAATCATAGACACCTTTTCGTGAATAAAACAAATACAGTACAAAAGTACAAAACACAATGAGGAAAGATGTGAGTATAAGAAAATTCAATACCATTCAAGTGGAGACATACATGTGCTAAACCAAAAAACATACAACCCAGCAAGCACGCGCGCAAGCCCATAAGCAGGCAAGCAAGCACGCACAGACGGACGGACGGATGAATCGATCGATACAGAGGTAAAGATGAGCAGACAAAGAGAAACATCTACGCTGAAAACTGTCTTGTAGCTCGTTGAGATATCAAACACCCAACCTTTGAAATTGATGAAGATGGTAATCAGTAAAAGCATTAGGTACATCCAAGAATGAATAAAAAGCTATGAAAAAGACGACAGTGAAATCCCACCAGAGATGTTTATACAAAGTTTTACCACTTACATTCTAGGATTGAGCAATAGGCCAGTGCCCCCCGTACACCCTGCGATTCAGTAACATTTTGACGCCACCTTTGACAAACTTTCCGAAGCTGTCTGGGTGCCAAATGCGGTGTTCTTTTACATGCAGAATCATACAACACCTGGCAGTATTTGAAATCGTATTAAGTACGGGTTTGGTGCGTGTCTATTCTCAGTATCTCAAAACGTGAGCAGGTGGATCCAATATCGTTTTGTAGAATACGCTCCACTCTCTTTCAAGTGAAAGAATCTATCGTATGTACACAATAGTATTCCACTCTGAACTTTTTGATATCAGGGATCTCACTCAACACCTTTGTTTTTGGGATACAATTCCTGTAGGAAAGCATTGCTTTTTTCGACAGATGAGGGGGTGTTTCTGCTCAAAGCGGTTACCTAGCGTTTTGGCAACGTACCATTTAGAGCAACAGCCATGAACAACTGGTAGATATTGCGTACCTAGGCGCTCCCGAACACACCAAGGACTACTAGCAGTCCCCCAACAATTCCAGTCATTCTGCAGCCAAAACGTTGATCATTTAAGCCGCCAATCAGACCTGCATAGATTTGTTATGAAACAAAACAGGCATTTAAAAGGTTTATGTCTTTAAATGTTGTCATCCCAGCCGTTTTCTGAAATCTTGGAGTGTCGTGGCCTCACCACTCAAGACACTAACTTCACCTGTTTTGGAATACCTAGACATTCTTCTATGACTGTGAGACTCTAAAGGATGGTGTTCTGGCTTGAAAAAAATACAGGCTACCCACTGCATGGACCATATTAGTCAAGTGCTCCTTTGCCACTGCAGAGGCTCAGGGACGACATGATGCTCTGGACGGCAGCTGTCTGCTTAGCGCTCGTCTCAAACTCCTCCCTCCAGCTCAGTTAGAAGACATCATTAGCCCGCAGGGAGCACTCTACAAGGGCTCAGTTTAAGCGGGCTGCAGTGACGATGGTTATAGCCAATCTACTCACCTGGGATCTTGCGCGTGCAGGGACGAACCGAAGTCCTACTTGAACTCACCATCGAAGGTATAATATCTGAGGCTTTGGGAATGAAACACAGGATAGGTTTTGCTACAATGCAATCTTCACCCTAGCCTAACTTGTAACGGTAAACCTCGTTGCTACTTTATACTTTTAAGTGTCGCTAGGATTTATGCCCGGTGGCAAACTACATCCCCAGGGTAGCAAAATACTCATCAGCTAAAAACGAGTACACAGTGGTAAACAACATCATTAAAAAATATATAATTTCTGCCCTATATCCTCATTTTTTCCCTTTTTTAGTTTCAAAATTGTTGAAGCTGTTGTGCTATGAGACATTGAAGTAGTGTGTATGCAAGTATTAGTATTTTTAGCCGAGTTGTTCTCCACTGATTTTAGAGACTGGTATTTCCAATGCTGTGGTGTCTAGCAGTGAAGTTCAAATCAGAAATTGCGTGCATCCTACCGCTATTGCATATGTCAATGACACACTGCAGTTTGGAATTTTGTACAACAAACATCCGTAACACGTAGATGGAGCCTCCTCACTTAAAACTAATAAATGAATGAAGTGACAAAAAATAATACAAGTCACGTGTAGTCGCTGTTACTGCAGGGAGATGGTCGGAACGAGTAAAGCTGCAAAACTAATAGACCGAACCACTGATTTCATGATATTTCCATGTTTTTGTTTTCACAAGCAAAATACAAAGGCAAAAAAGGTAGCCATCCTTATAACAAGTGCACACTTTTCCCCTCTTTTTTGTGGCCATTGGCTTCGATAGTTTATATTCAATTTACGTATACTTGATATTAAGTCAGACCCCCGTAAAACTCTATACTAACTTGGCTACGGCCGTAAAGAACGCATGCCAACGGAATCCCCCCTAATGGACTTATGTGCTGTTGAAAGTCGCAGCTAAGAAATTCGGACAAGACCACTACGCGTCCAGAACACCTGGACTGTATCTCGACTGTCCATGTCCAGGTTTGTAAAACTCCTTGTGTGTGACAATATGCTGCAATTAATTCTCTTCGCGTCCTCGCCCATCAGAATCAAAGAATGTCCAGCTTTTTCATCGTTTCTCCGACTTAAACCACGTCCCTCCCTCCACTATTGTTAATACTGTACAAAAGAACAAAAAGGCTGGCGCTTTGAGATGAATCCATCATTTGTTTAGCGTTAGCTGGCTATGTATATTTGCATGTACATAAAAGCTTCATTCCTGTCCCAGTTAAGCCATTGAGTAAACTCCTCGGTTGGGAGCACAACTATTTTTCGTTCACAGGCAGAGCACATGCTTCACATGAAGTTACACACAGACATGCAGTCGACACCATTAGTGTATGGCACGGTCCATGGATTTATATCTATATGTTAGTTGCAGATATACGCTAAATTTAAGTTAGCAAAGGATATTGATATGACTGTACGGAGCTGGGGACCTTTTACACCACCACCAAGCAAGTTTCCCGAGTGACTGATTTGAGAACTACAGTTTACTGTCTCTTCAAATGAGGATTACGTTTACAACCTTGAAAGTACATGCTTACTCTTTGAAATCCACCAGTCACCAAAGAAAAATTCTTCCGTTTGGAAAATACATGCATTTGGAATATCACTTCATTCATCAGGGAAGTATCGTTCGTAAGTTTCTAAACGATTTATCTGTTTTGCAAAATTGTTCATGAATTGTGATTGCTGAAGTTGGTTTTAAAAGTTGTGTAATAACAGAGAAAGAGATAAAACTGAGATTTAACCGAAAGTAAAGTCGCTACATGTGAATTTTAAAATAAATACACAAAGAAAAAGGATAAAAATAAAAAAAATATACGTTACCATTAGAATAAATATCTCAAAATGAAAAAAGATGAAATAAAACTAAAATGGATGGATATGTAGAAATGAATCACATTGTATTCATGTAATCACGTTGATAAAGTTATTAAATTCGGCAAATAGCGCATGAATCACTCTTTCGACATTTTCCCGCATTCTGTTTGATATCGAAGGGGGGGGGGTCACTGGGAATGCTTATAGTTATTGGTGATCCGATTGAGGAGCAAAGATCGCCTGATTCGCCATTCTCTTACAAAAAGACGAACTCGTTCGGAGATATTCAGTCATCCCCTTTGAAACAGGCATGCTGCTGTGTAGAGACACTGTTAGTCTGATCTATTGCTGCCAAGTCCTGGAACAAACCTATAAGTATAACTGCAATAGCCGTTCAATCAGAAACAGACATGGTTCAGTGCCGAGATTTTTCACTTCAAATTGTGAGCGCATGAGCCATAATTTCTGAGATGAAACACTTTTGATTAAGGGTTGATTGCTTGCCTATTGCTGGGTGCTTATACATAAGCTCTGAGATTAATGTTGTTTTCAATTCATGTGCAATGACAAGATTATGTTGGATAGACAATAATTATAGAGTTTTATAGGCAAAACAGCTTGCAGTAGCACCATGCAAAGATATCTCTAATCTGCACTGGAAAATGTCTGTAAGGATCAGTGTGGATGCATACGACATCTCTATGCATGCTATAAGGAAGAGAATTTCAACATGCGTTGTTTGTAAAAAAATATCCAGTCTGCCATCTTTAAACGAAGAATTTATAAAATGGGTCACGCTGTTTGCATTTTGCTGAAATGGTGGGTTCGAGATAGCCTTTGACGGCAGCGAGTCAGTACAAAATATCAGTTATTCATCATGTTAGACGTAAAGTTTGGTGATTGCAGCAGATAACTTTCCACTACATGTACTTTGGTTATATACACCGTGCTTGCTCAAGTAAACTAAGAGGTTTACACTCTAGGGATAGCACACACTTTAAATTCGACTGGGGACCAGGTGCCAAAGTTGATGCCTCTGAGCGTCAGCGGGGGAGCGTCTTGAGGCTTCTTGAAGGTGAACTGATGCAGGAGGAAGGTGATGAAGATAAAGAGCTCCATCCTTGCCAAGTGCTCCCCGAGGCAGATGCGGCGTCCTGTCGGGAATGAAGTCAAACCAGGTTAACAAATATTTTGTGCGATCAATATTGCAGTTATTAGTTTTATTATCCTTACAAAATTGCAAGTGGAAGCGCACAGCAATTGAGAAGCGGCGATTAGATTCAGGATTTGAGTTCGATGTTGGGAAGAAATCAAACTTTCCCTGCATACAAAAAAAAATCAAACATCCCCAAATCGCCTTTGTTTGCACGTGTCAGTTACCTATTCCGAAAGGGTTGATCTCCTCGCGTCGGACTACTTTACCATCCCGGTCCAGGAACCGCTCCGGCCGGAAGACGTTCGGCTCCTCCCAGACGGTGGGGTCGAAGTGGTCGTGCCACAGGTTGGAGACGAGAATAGTGCCCTTGGGAATATCGTACCTGGGATGAACATCGGTGCACTTTGTTAATCTCGAGTCAGAGAGTGTATGGCAGAGTGTATCGTTCAGACGCAAACAATCATTAGCTATCGATTCTGAAACTACATGCATTACGAGACCGCGGAACAACTTCCCACAATGACCTGTGCATTCGTTGGGAGAGTGATGGCGCTCTTCAAGACTTACCCAAGTAGCTTGGTGTCTTCCAGACAGGCATGGGGAACTGCGAGTGGGGCAATGGTGGTTATCCTCTGCAGCTCACAGATCACCGCCTCCGTGTAGGGTAGATCCGGCTTGTCCCCAAGCCTAGGGAACCGATTGCGTCCGGTGACGGCATCTAGTTCTTTGTGCACCCTCGCCTGCACCTCAGGATAGATCATCATGTACAGCAGCATCCAGCGGAGAGTGGTGGTGGTGGTCTCGCTGCCGGCAAAGAACAGGTCGCTCACCAAGTTGGTCAGGTTGTCCATGTCGAACACCGACGCCTCGCACCCCTGCCGCTCCTTAGCTTGCTGGTGCTGGAGGTAGGCGTCGATGAAGTCGCGCGGGTTGTCCGCGTCGTAGTCCTGGTTGTGCCGCACGACCATGGACCGGATCTGGTTGTAGGACTGCCGGACGGTAGCAATGTAGTCCCTGATGAAGGGCAAGAAGGTCAGTCGGGCCAGTAGCGAGGAGAACTCGATGGCTCCCCCGCTGCCCGCTCTCTCCACGATGTCGTCGTTACACTCCAGCATTCGCCTGAAAACTGCATCGTTGTACTGGAACCTCCTCCCGAAGACGACGGAGCAGATCACGTTGGAGACGGCGTTGGCTATTGAGTGCCTTGGGTCGAAGGCTGCTCCCTCGTACTTCGTCCAGTCCTCCATCAAGAATTCTGCCTCTGCGGCGATGTTATCCTCGAAGCTGGATTTGCCCACTCCCAGTCCTCTTAGGACAGTCAGGGAGAATCTCCGTATCTCTGTCCAAACGTCACCAGAGGATGTGATAACCCCTGAAAAAAAATAATAAATCCAGTATACAGGACCAAACGTCTTTATTTTTTTCCTGATAATTTCTGAAAACTAAGCACGGCCTCCATCCCACGTGAAATCATGACACCGGCAAAGGTAGAGTCGGTGGTGCATGTTGAGGGTGCGCAAAGTTGAATTGAAAGAGGGGGATGATTATATAGGCAATCCCCCCACCAAAAACGTGTGGGATCATATCCCCCCACCCCCACTTTTTGACCTGGGGGAATTACCAAATGTAATCATCTCCGCCCATGACCAGCTCTAAAGGTTCTCCTTTCCTCTTTGTTATAAATTCTGTTTTTATCTCAGGGTGGTGCGCCCATCTCCCAGGGTCTGGGAGATTCGTTCTAAGTGTTGGGGAAAAGATGGATTCAGATAATCAGCACGAGTGGCCCGCGTTGTTTCTTTGAAGAGTTTTGCCAAAACAAAATTAAACATTCTGCATTGTCATGTTCATCCCTACGTTCATAATTTGTGAAAATTGTTATTCAGAAAAAAGTCACGGCCCAGCTACACAGCTGCAGGAAACCTTAAGGGGTATACCCTACAGTGATCACTGGCTGGATTAGTCTGTTGACATATCCACAAATCAGTGTGAGGATAATTTGAGCGCTCCAAGGAGATTCAGTCTTTTTGTATTCGTTATGCGAGAACAAACCCTCCAATGTGCGTCAGCTGTCACCACTCGTCTGTACCCTCAGTGTACAGAGGGAACACCCATTATCACCAGTCCGTCTTTCGTGAAGTCTATAATTACAAATTAAAGCGGGCGAGATCCTGGTCTTACCCACGCCGGGTCGAACCTTCTCGCTGGTGTACATCCTCGGTCTAGCGCTGAACTGCTGTTGATTGAAGGCCTCTCTGATGGTGGTAAAGCCGTGCAAGACCACGACCAAATGCCCCGCCAAGTTCACACTAATGATGTTACCATATCTGTTCAAGAAATATTTAGAGGCGAGCTTTGTGTTTTTATGATTATAGTATATACACATGTATATGGTCGGAACTTCAAGGAACTTACATAAACTGACGAACTTTTTGTTGGAGGTAGAAATTAATCGGGAAGTCTGTTTCAGAAATTCTCCGGGCATAACTCATCACCAACACCACGAAGTAGCACTCAACTGCACTTGCGTGATATTCGTGAAAACCATGTTTACAAGAATTTCGGTTTCACAAAGTAGCACTGAAGTGAACGCCCGCACATCGTACACTGATGCATGATCGAACGATTTTCGTTTTCACGAAGTAGCACTTATGTGTATTGTCAATATAGCATGTATAAAAACACTTCGAAAGGTCTAAAATGATTTGATTCACCCGTAAATATGTGACATAACTAGAAGATGCTCTTAAAACTCGTTTTAATTGTATAAATTAAGGAAAAGGGCAATTCCTGAAAACGACAACTCACGGAGCACGTGCCACACGTGCTGAGTGCTACTTCGTTAAAATGAAAATAACACACTTCTTTGAAATACGCGCTGAAGCGGCGCACACATCTATACATGAGTAGTACTTCGTGGTGTTGATGACGAATTATTTGCACACATCAAAACAGAATGTTGTGACCTCAAGCGAAAGACTGAACCCAGTATGCAAACATGTAACAAAACACCTTTTATCTACCAAGGCCGACAGCCTAGTTCGACGAGTTTACAGTAGAGCAGACCTCGCACTCCCGTCCGAATGACCTAGGACGCGCTTCGTTTGGGGCATGTGCTATTGAAATATACCGAACTGGCTCGTTGTCAACTACTGTTCGGCGGTCGAATTTGGTCTTCGACACAAAACGAACCCGCCTGACCTTGTTGACCGACATCAATGGGTACTTTGCCAGCCATGGGGGGGGGGGGTTGGAATCATATTTGGAGTTTGGTCTTGGCAGTTTTCGGTTTGGCAGAAATTTCAAGGCGGACAGGGATCAAACACGGAGTGCTGAGCTCCCTGAAAAAGGTGAATGGTGACATGTCGATGGCATTCACGCGCAACCTGCAGGTAGTGGAATGACAGCTAGATAGGGTGGGAATCTGAATTCTTTGATGCTCTGCAGTCAGAGATGTAAATTAACGTCGGCTAGAAGGAAATCAGGTCGAGGGGATGATTGCTCCATGGTCTGAGAAATGCCCAGGGGCCTACAAGGAAACTAAACTGAGTTAAAAATATAGTCTACAAGTTAATTTTGACCTACAAGTTTCACAAGAACTGAGAGGATGGAGACCTTTGCAAATTATGTAACCAAAGGAAGTCTGCAGTGGGGAGATACATACTTCGGAACCAACTTGGAGAACGCTACGTGCGGTTCTTCTCCCGTTAAGGCAAGATGGGGTACATAACCGATCCCAGGCCACCCAGTGGGGCCGGGAGGTAGGTTCCACCGTCTGCGGCGAAGGTACCGGAACAAAATCAGGAACACGACGGCTCCGAGGAGGGCTGACCGTAGGTCGAAAAGCTTCAGGCCAACAAATAGGTTCATTTTCGGGGCTCTATATGTAAACAGTCAGGAAGCAACTGCTATTCCGGGAACCTCCGGAGGTAATCATGTATATATTTATTACCCGGTCTTCCACGGTGTCCTCACCCAACGGCTTTGCTGCCAGCGTAATATGTAAAGACTTACACGGTTTATCGACTTTGACACCAGCTCGATGTTGAACATATAGGCTGTACTGAACCATGGGTACAAGCACTGCAAAATACAATGCACATTACCCTACTTGAATCGATCAAAGGCCGTCAGTCACCCGTATCGGGAAGTTGTGTTAGCATAGTCTTGATACAGGAATGAATTCCCTGGTTTTCCTTAAGTCGGTACGCAACACATGCATATCGTGTGTGGTACCATCGATTGCACAATTATATTATACGGGAACCGGTAGCTTGTAATGTACGTGCAATACCTACAGAATGAACATCCCGTAGTAACTTTCTGTCCATTGTCGTTACTGGTAAATTCCTTGCTACACAACGAAGCTGAGGAATGATAGACTGGCTCCCAGTCCCTGCAATGTTATTTGGACTGCGAATGCACTGACCTTTAGTGGGAATGAATTCCAGGCGGAATTCCTCTGAGTTTAAGGGGCAGATCCAGGAATTTTATTCGTTCAAGGGAAATTTATTCGCAAAGGACGGGGGGGGGACTACACTGTCATCTTTTGGGAAGCCATTTAATATTTTTGTTTCGTCCTTAACCGTACTCTCAAAACAAGACCTTTACATCATGGTTTATGCTATTGTTGGGATCTTCCGACCTTTAGACGTAGCCCCCCCCCCGAAAAAAGGCAATGAGCCGGGAGAGGGAACCCAACTGCCAGATCCACGGGTTTATGTTAGGAAATTAGCATAATATTTCCACTGCTGTGCTGATGAAAGGTTTTACTCTTTTACGTCTTAACAAACTAAACACAGGCTCATTATGCATTGCTCATGCACTAAAGCAAGGATTGTGCCAAGGATGCGTGAGATTGTGGACGCTTGAAGTGAGTTTTCACTAAAAGGGGGATCTTTCCTAGGCTTGTTTCTAAAACGTTAAAAAGGAATTCATCCGTGAGTTCATTTCACACACTACTTACCATACGTGGATAATGTACTCTTTTTGGCGGGCAACTTTAACATGAACACAATTCGTGACAGTTTCGTGATAAAGCAACAATGAGGGTAATTTTTCAGGTCTACAATAAGTATTTGAAATTTCTAGTCGAACGAACATTGTTCGAGGCGCCTTATTTACTCCAGTTGTGGTGCCTTTGTTCATCCTCATTTAGGAGTATGAAACGACGCATATTGCCATCTAGCCCACAGACAAGCGGCGAAACTGTTGCTATGCCAACGTCGCGTTCGTGATTAATTAAGAAAAAACACCACGTCTATCTGTGGCCATCACTGTTACTGAAATTTATATTACCATATTCCAGTGATCAGTGCCGTCTATTTCAGTGGGTGCTCTGTAGTTTTGAGAATGAAGTTACTTGTTTTGGCAGTCGTGGTGTTGGCAGAAGCAGTAAGTGGAAGCGTAGCTACCGCATCGTCCCAGGAAACGTGCAAGAAGGCTGTTAACGTGGCGTTCACGCATATCACGCATATCATGCATATGGCGCTGGTCGGTCACGCCGTCAGAAACCTGTCGGGGGTATCTCCGGTCCGGTGCGCGGCTCTGTGCTTGAGGGAAAACAACGCGCGGTGTCGGTCCTTCAACTACGGCAAGGCCGGCGGGATCCGGACCTGCCAGCTCAATGACGCCAGGTTGGAAGAATTCCCCGAGAATTCGAAGGAAGACAGCAGTCTTTTCTACTACAACGTACAAATAGGACAGGTGAGTGCTTAAACGCTCATCACGGTTTTCTGGGAAGAACGACACGTTCTGCTTATGTGTGAAAAGCTCGTTTCACGAGTAGATCTGGGGGCCTGGGTGGCCATAGCCCTCAAGAAGGAGCCAAAGGCTTTGGTTTTTAAATATGACCAGAGAGAGCTAATTTTGGTATGACTTCATATCCCTTCCTTTCCAAAGCGTGTACAAAGCCCCCCAAATTGGCTTCACACCTCAGAAATGCCACAAATGCTTATTATAAAGAAAATCGCTATGTTTTAGTGCCCACACAAAACACTGAAAGGTGTCACTGTTTCAGCTTTCGTGTAACACTTCCACTGCACCACTATGTTCTTTTACTCCCGACATGCAAGTTTATCTTAAAGAGAACGTACCTCTGAGCGCCTTGCATAATTAACTACCCTTACATTTTGAACATGTTCCGAAAGTCAGGTAATTCGTAGACCTTGTCAAGGCGTCAATGTTTTACTGTCTAACCTTTCCTGGGAGTTAATTTCAAACCACACACAGTATTGGAAAAATGGAAACAGAATTTCAAAAGTCAACCCGTCCTGGGGTATCGTAACTCAGCACACTCGCACAAGCAATTCTGGAACGACGGCTTTTATAAATATAGCACCGATTGCCGATGGAACACACTCGTGTGTGATTTTTTTCAGGTAAACTCCAACTGCCCAGAGCTCGATTTAACATCAAGAACAGGTAAGGTATTTCCAACTGCTCTGATTTTTTTTAAATTGAGAACGGATAATCTTTATTGCTTAAGGCAGTAACGTGTGACTCGCAATTGTTTTTTTCATGAATTTTGCCACAATTGGAGCGGTTCCAAATTTCTGAATTGTTGATAAAAAAGTATTCAGGTGTTGTAAGCGAGCATTTTTGGGTTACTCGCATGTTATTTGTTGGATTGATTTGGAGAATATACAGCTTTCACTTTCGTGTTCTTTTTGTGGGGATCTGCCAAAGACTGAAACAGGAGCATGAACATAAATCTGAACTCACCCAAGACGCTATAACTGCGGTTATGTTAGTTTGAGACCGCTCGAAAAGCAAATCACAATACGCTATTGGTTGCACAGTGCTGAACGTGCGACTGTATATTCAATCCACAAGCATGGTGCCATCCATAGAGGTTTTTCAAGTGACGTTACATGACGGGCAAAGGCATTTTAGAAAGCGTACCATGTCCGTGGACTTGCGTGCCTTTTCGAATCTTCTATTTTCTATTTGCAGTTTTATGTACGCCTGAAAGTTGAGAGACTTTGAAGGCGCGCCTATTTCCGAGCGCCCACAGATTGATTGACCCAAAGTGTGTCATGTGACGCTTGCTAGTTTAACTATATTTATACCACCGCTTAAAAAAAACTATACCCGTAGCAACCAAAGAACTATATCCGTAGCAACCAAAGAACTATACCCGTAGCAACCAAAGAACTATATCCGTAGCAACGAAAACATAGGCGTGTATTTCGGCTCATAGCAAACAATCATCGGTTAATGAATGTATTCGAACGTTTCTGTTCCGCTTGGAATTCTTGAAATAAATTTGATGAATATTAATTCCAGTTTGGTGTTTCATTATTGATTTTTGGCTTAAATTTGCAGAATCTGTGGGGAGGTGTTATAAAACAAATATTGACTGCTTTATCTCGCGGTACAGTAAAACTACCCTCCCTGGGTGATCCATGGAACCTTCTATTTTCCCTCGGCTTTGCCTCCGGAAGATAGCATGCTCTATGGAGCACCTCTGGAGACTAGTTTTACTGTACCACTGGAAGCAGTCAATATTTGCATAATATTGAACCATACAGGAAGGACACGGAAAGAGTTTGAACTGCCCGGGCTGTACCATCTGGCCAATTACCGCTTTCTGGCATGCCTGGTAGGGCCTACGTCCATAGCCAGAGCACAGCGAACGCTTGCTGTGCACCGTCTGTTTCCCAACCACGAATCCCCTATGTACCCTATGATCGCCGCCGCAATTTGTCAATGGTAATCTGCATCCTTATAATACTTCGTGTACTGAGGTATAGGAAATTGAATATTCATGCCTTTGTTGGTGCTTGGTATGATCTCATGACAACATCAAATTTAATGCTTGCGCAGTTGCTTGCATTATGCTGTGCGCCCTAAATCTATATGTGCAGTCATTGCCCTTAATGAACGCTTTCTTCTGGAGTTATTTTGGGAATACCTAGCCCGGTTGTTTACAAGATTGTGTGTTATGTATGAATCGTTTTTATTGTGGCATTTGTACAGAAGTGTATTTTATGAGATTTCATGGTCACTTCCTGTGATGAAATAGCGCATTTTGTTACTTATGAACTTAGTTTTCCAGTACAAGTCAATATTTTGGTGGCCAGTCTTAGCCAAATTTGTACCAAGTCTTTGAACACTGATATGACAAACTTTGTATGATAACGGAACTGTGTATCAAAATTTAAAATGTTTATTTAAAATGGCAAAAGTGTGTCTAATATCAGGGATTTTCTCTCTCTATTTCCTTGTCAAAGCAATAATTTGTATTAAATTGCGAGCGAAACAAGCATTACTAGGAAATCACTGGCCCCGCTTGTCCAGCTAAGATGCAGGCGGTAATCAGGCATTTTTGATATGTTTTCTCTAGTGCGTCTGACTCGGCGGCGACGATCATTGAACAATTTGAAGTGCCAGAGTTGCAAATCCTTCTGTGTCCTTCCTCTTTGATTGAACGCTGGCCGTCAAAAATCACGTGACGGAAAATCCTCTACGGCCTAATCCGGTTAGACGCCACAACTGTGGTGGCAATGCACCGACAGCACACTCTTTTCAGCTGACGCTTGTTATGTATAAATTGGATTTTATCGATTCCCGATTCCTATGAAAGCTGCTGCTCCAGACATATGCAGCATATACCCAGCAAGAAATGANAAAGCAGGGGGGGTTCTCTCTTCTGCATCAAATGAAGCGAGATATGAGACGGAGAGAACCCCCCCCCCGCGTCGTGTTGGTCATTGTTTGAGTGGAATCCGATGGATTCTTTTCAGACGTCGGGGGGGGGGATGTGTTAAATAACAATAGTGTAGAGTGTGTATAGCGATTGGGCATGTTGGGGGGTACCCCTCGGTCTCATTTCTTGCTGGATATAGAATTAACGGTACGACTTAGCTGAACCAATTCATCGAAATAAAGCCATCAAAAGACAGGCACACGAAATTAGAAAACCTTTCTCAAATGTTAGGGAAACATTCTTTTTAAAATAGTCAACTATATAATAAACATTTGCACTTGACTGTATGTGTGCGCCAAAAGATGCCCTGACGTTCGCGTATGCTGTACTTGTGCGTTGCATTTAGAATACATTATTCGATATTCATTCATTCATATCTCATTTCGAATGTTCCACAAGCACGCACATGAATTCAAAATGTCTGCGGCCAGGATGCCGTCAAATAATTTTCTCTGCGCAGAGAATGAGAAGTTAACGCTCTTGTTTTTTATTTTTAGCTCTGTGGTACTATGGCCGTAATGTAATCAGTCTGTCGATTTAGTCAACGCTTCAAAGGGAACCTGTGCATCGTTCAACATGCAATTTTGAGACTTTAACGGCGCTTCTGAGAGGCGCATTTTTGTACATGTTCATATTTGCTGACACGTGACGCGACTAATAGTTAACCAGTCACGTAGGACCGCCATGTTGCTGCCACTGAGCAACTCGAAAGTCTACCATGCTTTTTAACACTCCACTGTCTTAGATTTTTATTCTAAATCTTAATTATTTTTCCTTCATATTTAAGAGATTGGAAACTCTTTTGAATTTGAGAGCGGATAAAATTCCATCCAGTTCTGAATTCATTTTTATATATGCACGGACAAATACTTCACAGCCAATTACAAGAGTGTGAAGTGGTAAGGTCTAACGTGCTTAAAGCTCTTCCTAAATAAAATACCAAGTGGGACGTTACCTGAGTCGTTGATGTCTTGTAGACCCTGAATGGCAGCTTGTGTTCAGAGGAATGGCAGGGAGAGGTGTGAAGCTTTACGACCTGTGGACTGTCTCATCGTGGGGTGTGAGAGTGAGGGCATCCAGTGGGAGTTACCGCGATGACTCGTTGTACGGGGCTTGGAAGAGCGGAAACCTGACCGTGAGGCGGGTGAGGACGCAGAATTTGTCATCCCAGGCCAGAGTTCCTAGACTTTGGTCTAACCTCGGCCCTGTCTGATCCAGTTTTACTCAATATTATGCATAGTCTCAACCGTTGGTCAGAACTGATTTTTATACCATGGTCACTTTAGAATTCGGTACGAAAATAGGAGCAAGCCAAACTGAACAGACAAGAACGCAGCCTTTTTTAAATTAAATGTTTGATTTTGATTTCTTTTTTTAGCACACAGTGCCAAATGGTAAATTCCTATTCTTTTAGTGTTTAAGTATTTTGTTCAGTTGTTATTTAGTTTGGCTTGTTTTTTCTTTTGGTTTCAATATAAATATGTACCAGTATCACATATCATGCCCTGTTACAGTAACTTACCAGCTATTCTGACCTGAAACAGATTTTAGCAACTCTCAAGAGAGCTCCAGACAGGGTCAGTCGGAACCGAAGTTCCATTCGCAGTGGCAACTAAAATTTACCCTAACCCGACTTGAGGCACCTCCATGCACTACCGGTAACGCCTGTGCCTTTTTTCTGATGTATACTTTGTCCTAAGGTGAAATTGTCTTTGTTCGAACTCAAACTGTGTAAAGCCCAACTGATTTTCGATGGAACCGGATCAGATATCCTAAACTGGTTCACCAAGGATCGCCTCATCTCAAGCCCGTGGGAGGACCTGGAATCAACCTCGACTAATTTCTTTGGCATAAAGGGGCACGCTGAAGAGTGAGTATGGAAGAGCAGTGCTTATCAGCAGGCGGCTCATATACTGCATTGGTTGCCTCATTTTTGCTTGTTGCATTTCCAGTGAAGTTTCTAAATGGGCTCTGGATGCTGGTCATTCCAAATGGGACGCCTATTGTCACAATTCGTCAGAACAGCCAGTGACTTGGCATACGATGACTGGCGATTTAACAGCTTGCGATAAACTCATTTTTGTTTACAAATCGCTGAACAGATCCAGAAATACCGTACTTGTTGCATACAAAGAGGGGCAAAAATCCTGACGTCGCACCCCCATCCATGCACTCAAAAAAGGAGGAGCATCGTGGAAACCCATGAAGCCATTGACGTTGCGTCGCCATGGCAAAGACAGCTATTTTTATCCTGGTTGAGTATTAGGACCCTCACCCCAAATCCGCACCATACTCAAATCCCCACCATAACTGACTTCTTTAACCCTCCCTCCAAAGTCGAGTTAAATGTGTCCTAATGAGTTGACCTCGTCACATAGTAACGACTCAACTTTTGGGCTGATCCTAGCGGACAACCATTGCATTTGCTCAGCTGATTTGCACTGTTTTTAGTCCACTTAACCACTGGATTCGGGTAGATGGCTTTGGGTTAAGATGTACATGGTAAACAGGTGGTGCACCTTACGGGAAATATATTCGTCAAGGAATTGCCACGGTCCAGTATTTATGTTCATACTTGCAAAGTGAGTACAGCCTGGGGTTGCCAAATCGCAGGTTAAATAGTGTGAAGTTTTGTTTTTAGAAATTTACGTGGACGGTTTCGTCGAATTTTTACCTGTCAAAGAAGTTCTGACATTAGGCCCTAGACGAAAAAAATGGTAACAGACCTCATAAAGTCGGTATTTAGATTTCATACAGTGTTACGCAGTTGGTTAATTTTACAATGAAGTTTATGACTCTCGAAATAAATTGGCTACAACTTCTTATTTTAGTGCCAAATTGGATAAGGTTTGGCTTTTTTTGGGATTTGAATCCACTTGAGATAAGCCTTTTGCGCGATATATATGAATAAAATCTGGTACACTGAGTTCTCTAAAGGAACCATGCAATGAAATTTTTTCGTTATCACTTTTTGTGTATGTCTGTACTCATCGTCTATGTATGAGAACTATATAGACGCTTATTTTGAATTAGGTGAACTGAAAGTGCACTTTAAATTCTAAACATTCAAAATTTAACAGGCATTTCCGGACAAGTGAGGGCGCTTTTGCCTTAATGTAAACCCAAGAAGACATTGCTTAGTTTGCATACTTTCATGTTAAAATTGTGCACTCTGATTTGGCTCTTCGAAATCATTTTTGAGAAGAGGTTGCTCCCTAGCTTATTGCCATATACTTAAACAACAATAAATTGCCAAAGGAAATGAAATCTACGATGGCAGTATTAAAAAATTCAGAAATTCTTTATGCACAAATCAGGGCAACATTGAGGTTCAGTGCCTTGGATAACATCATCATATGGCTCATGAATATACAAATGACATTAGCACAAAACCAGAAAATCTCCAAAATATGGGTCAAGATCGTAGAACAATAATTTAAAATCAAATTAATTGGAACCCCGGGTGCAATTTCAAGAATTTAGTAAAATAATTATATTTCATTGTCCCTTACTTGAACATAGCACTGAATTCTCAATACTAAAGACACTGTTGCAGGTATAGCAACAGTGTCTTTAGTATGGTGAATTCAAGTTTTTATATTTAAGTGTACTCAGATAACTCAGTATACCAGATTTCATTCAAACTTTTACTTGCAAAAGGCTTATTGAGCCATGAAGGTCATCAGATCGAATCGGTTTGAGCGGAGGCTATTGAATTTGGATGGGATTTGTGTTTTTGCATCCAGCACCAGCTGTCAGATCGAATCGACCCTCTCTAATTCACATCAAATTCACATCTTTAGATTTTGGTGCGCAGAATGGGAAAAATAGCCACCCAGTTTTTTCGCTCCGCGACGGTCGTTTGACTACAGATGGCACACTATTGACTTTTGCACGTGCAACCTTAAAGAAGTTCACCATTACTTAAATAATGTTCACGGTTTTCTTCTCTCGCCTCCACCAAGAGACCGCCGATTCTTCATCAGTCACACTTATCGTGGCTGTCGAATTGACTCCGGCTGGCTTGCTGTGGTGGACTCCAGGATGAACACTGACTGTGAATGGGAGCGATCTTCGGCCTACCCTGTCTTACTTTACAGCGCAGCAGCCGGCAAAAAAAGTTGGCACGGCGTGCTAACTCCAGGTGAGCAAGCCTACACGAGCCCACTTTCTGTCAGTTATCCCTAAAGGCATTTCCCTTATAAATGCATTAAGTGCAAATTACACGGCTACGGCTGCAAATGACACACGCACCTATGGAAGCCGTCAGTTAGCGGCTTCGAGTGTTAGGCCTGTGTCAAACGAAGTGCTTCTCCCGTGTCGAACTCAAACACTTTTTTTCATTTATAGCAGCAAAAGCACGTCGTTTGACGTAAACGCTGGAATGAAATACGATCCTACCGTGCTACACGATAGCCTGTGTCGCAGTGCACGGCCTCTCACACGGCGTGGCGTCAAACGTCTTGTCATTTTCATGAATTTCGCAATTCGGCTTGTCGTTTTTGGAATGTGCATGCTTAGCAGCATATGTGAGGTTGAAAGTTTAACAAAATACAAACATTTTGACAAATCCAAAAGACGCACTTGGATGACGTTGGTTTCGCAGCTGGTTTTGCAGTTGCTGAAAACATAAACTTAAAAGTGACATTTCAACACACCCAAAAGCTTTCTCAAAGTTTTGCTTGTGCATGCTTTAATGATTGTTTGCAACCAACTTTTGCTTTTAATCTACGCAAACTAACAAACAGGGGAAATTCAACAATGTAAATATTTATTTGCCGAATGAAACTAAGGGGCGGACAGATGAATCGACGCGCATCCATAAATTTGTAGAATGGAATTTTAAGAGTGAAGAACAAAATGGCGATAACGCTGCATTGGATAGTGAAATTATAGAATCGGTACGTAGCACGGTGTTTGACCCAGACCTAAGAAATTCGTTCACCGCCGTAGTACTCAAAACCTCCCATTAATGGAATTTAAATTTGTCATGAAATTTTGTCCGTCCCTCGCACACGTATGAATTTCTGGCCTGCCACGTTCCTTAGTCTTCAGTGTCCTGTATGCTAGGTCATGCGCAGTGGAACTAGACTCCAAACGGTCACAACGCGTTATATTCCAATGGCAAATCCGGAACATCGGTGGCCTGCATGGGATGCACTCAAGTGTTTTACATCAACGAACGACTTAACACTGACTAATACACCTACAACATAATGACGTAATGCAGTGTTTACCGCGGTGCCTTGTGGTTCAAAGGTGGGAATGTTGCGGGATCGCGTCGACGTGACACGTTATGTGTGTAACGTGTACTATAATGGCGTGTGTATCAACCCGACACGAAAAAAACCAATAAAATACAAAAATCCCGATTATCGTCCGTAATGGTCCACGTGAACTGCTGTGTTCCATTGTGTTTATCAAGCACTCAAAGAACACCAGAGCTGCGTTTTTGAACTTCCACGGGACCGCAAAAGGCGACAGATTTGGATAAGTTCCGTGAGAAATAAGGCCATCAAAGCGAAGCGATTTTTTTTTATATTTTTACATTTTTGTCGTGTCAGGTCGATACACACGCATTATAGTATACCTTACACAAAACGTGTACGCACGCGTTCCTGCAACATCCCCACCTTTCACCCACAATGCCCTGCGGTAAACACTGCATTACGTCATTATGTTGAAGGTCTATTTGCAATTGATTTGGGGGGGATTTTTTTGGCTCTAGAATGCGTACTTTGAGTTCTGGATATTGGAAAGGTCAAACATGTTGATCTGTCATTATCGCTGTGTATTCAACAGGTACCAATACTGTTAGACGTGCGGATTTCTTGACCATACATGTGGAAGCCGAGTAGGGATTTCAATGATGAATTACTCGTCGGATGGGAAAACCACATTTGTCTAAGGTTTTAGGGCCTAATATTTAAAGGTAGCTGCAATTAAGTTATTTTAATACAAAAAATATGTGATACTGTTTAAAGTACTTTAAATTCTAGTCAATAAGCAGCCAGTGAGTGATCCTATCCGGAAATTATTTTTCAAATTTGATTTTAAACTAATTGAAACAAATTACGTAGGGAAACTTACTAGGTACTTACAAATGATTATAAAGATGAACAAAGAAATTGACTGGAGTGGCATTTGAACCTGCGGCCTCCGGAATACCGTACCAGTGCTCCACCAACTGAGCTATCCGGTCCTATGTTGGTGGCTCTTTCCATTTTTCAGTATCTCTGTTATGAAGTCTGAAACACCATCTAGCCAGGGATCACGCCCCAATAGCCTAACACCATACAACCTGGGAAGGGGGGAACAGGGATCACTTGAAGAGGACGCAACTTTTTGATCATAAATTATGAAACAAATTGTATAGGGAAACTGGCTAAGTGCTTACAAATGATTATTAAGATGAACAAAGAAATTGACTGCAGCGGAATTTGAACCTGCGGCCTCTGGTATACGGATTCAACAAAAAATACTGACTGAATTGCTTTCCCCTTCGAGTCAACTAGAAGATATTGTGTATTTCTGCCAGTAAGGTTATTGGGGCCCAGTTGGTATCTGTCATGGAACGGTGCCTAAGCAAACGCACCCACCTATAACGTAACGTTTCTCTGGAGAGGCACCTGCATTACATGCCATGACTAAAAAAGATCCTTTTATACGGCGGATGTCTGTGTTGTATCCCTATGGCGGTTGCATGACCGCTTTTGCGCTAAGTAGCTAGTCCTTAACTCCTAATCAATGGCTAATGATTTACGACGGTGAGTGACAAGCGATCGGCCCAATGCACACTGTCCACTTGACAGTATTGGTGATTGCATAATACACCGATCGTTGATCCTGTACTGAGGAGTCCCGGACACGATGCCCTGATATAAACGTTACCATAAAAAAGAGGGCGGGGCGGGGGAATCTTCCCCCAGCTGTGAGATGGGCCAAAATAACCTGGCTGTTTGAGGATTAAGGGAGGAAATAAGCAATGGTAGGGTCTTGATGGGGCTTTTATGAATAATAAACGAGATAATGAATATCCTTGATTTTTGTATCAAAGCTTTATATGCGCTCGATGTACTCTCTCAGCCATTTTCTCCTGCTTCACGTAGTGTCAATAAAAAAACCCCACTCCTGATGCCTGCTCGTATTTTAATACGGAACCAACGCCTTATCAAAGCAAATATTCCATTTTAAATTTATGGCCTGTTTTCAATCGCGAATACACGCTTTTAAAACGCTCACATTTTGGGACCAAATTGGAGTATTACGTAATACTCGATCACCAATAATTGTCAAGTGGACAGTTTGCATCGGATTGATCGCCTGTCACTCAATATGGTCACTGCAATATTGTCTATGGAAAATGTGTAAGTGATATTAGGGCCTAGGCTCTTCATGACAAGCTCTTGTTAAATGGTAATAAGACGGAATTTATTATTCTTGGTACCAGACAGCAGCTAGCAAAAATTAACCTGGTGCATGCCAAGTGAACATTGTGTCCGGATAGACTCCAATTTGGCTATGTCTGTTCAGATTTCAAAACTCTGCTCTTCCGGCTTCTAGTACCTGTCAATAGTCTGTCAATACATTAATTCATGCTTTCGTCACAAGTTGTTTAGACTATTTAAATAGTCTGTACTATGGTCACCCTGCATGCAAGCTGTCTAAGCAGCAGAGAGTCCAAAATGTTGCTGCCAGGCTGGTTACCAAACCACAGAGACATTCTCACATATCAACTATTTTAATATGGCACCAGACTATTTGCGTGATGTGATTGCTGCCAAACATCAAAGTAATTATAATTTCAGATCATCCATAGGACTTCGTTGAATTTTCCTCGGGGGAGAATGTTGTCTACGCTAGGCGATCGGGCTTTTGTCTCTGCGGGTCCCAAATTATGGAATGCGCTGCGATTCGATCTAAGAAATGAGTTTTAAAGATTTTAAAGTAGAATTAAAGACATTTCTTTTTCAGAGGGCATTCGCTGCGGTCTCTTTATAACCCTCAGCCCTGACTTTTGCAGCCTTGTTATGTTTTGATATGATTTTGCATATATTTAGGGGGGAGGGTAATGCTCTGTATCATGGAGCAGACAAAATAATGGGCGACGTCTGGTTTTGTTTTGGTGGTTTTTGTTTTGTTCTGTCTGACCTTATTGTAATATTTTTCATTATCTCAATTTTAATTTCCTTTTGTTTTAATGCGTTTTTATGACTCTGTAAATCTACTGTTTTAACTTAACCTGTTGTTAATGTACAGTTGTTAGTGATTTTATATGTATTTATATACATGTGTTTTAATAAGAATGTAAAATTGCACTGCCCCTTCGAACAGCATGTTGCTGAAGCTGGAGCATTAACAATTCATTATTGGTATTATTATTTATTACTCGGTGTCGTAAAACATTGGCAATTAAAATGGAATTCAGGGACAATTACTAAGCGGATAAGCGTCAATGCAACCACCATGGAGATACAACGAAAACATTTGCCGCAAAAAGGATGTTTTTTTATTCATGGCATGTAACGCAGGTGTCTCTCCAGAGATACGCTAAAAATAGACCTTATTCACAGGGCCGGCCATACTGAATTTGAAAACGATATTAATTAAAATTCTCTATTTTTGAATGTTGAGAGTACAAATAAAAGCAGCAAAATTACATTTCATGATAAATTTGCACCCGAGCACTCTGATGGATAAATTTCAAATTCTTGATTGAACACTCAGATTTGTACCATGCCAGATTCTGAAAATTATTGAAGGGTGGCAAGGAACGCACGGAATCATAAAACAGTCTGGTGCTACCCTCATGAGCAGTTGGCAATATATTAAACAGATGTTGGGAATTAGATTAAAAATGGCCTCAACGTGAATAGGGTCAAATGCGTTCGCTTAGGTACCGTTCCATGATAGATTGATACGCAGTAGGCCTATATTGTATGGCAGCCATCTTTATTTTCTAACATTCATAGCAATGGAACCAAATTGAGGCTGGAGGGAAACGAAATACCGGTTGTTTGTTCCCTTTTATCAATGTGTGAAAATGTATTACTTTGGGGGCCCCCACTTTCCACATTAATAATTTTCCAATGTTGAGCCGTAGGAGGTACCATATTGATCTTGTAGTTAGCTCTTTCTTATTTCCAAACCGTATTGAAATTGGGTATTAATAGTTGGTAAATGGCTTCTTAAATGGATTGTGTATTCGGTAAATGGCTTCTTAAATGGATTGTTTATTACTGTTTGGCTGGGCTCCTCTACTAAATTTACGGAGTGCGACAGCTCTGTACACGAGTTGTATTAAGTACATGTGTCTTACAGTCTAGTATGCACGTGCGGCGTGCGTGGATGAATGTGTGGAAACTTTCAATGACTTCTGGGTCATATCCATAGCAACTACTTTAGGTTCTGTGCGCGTATAGTGCACAATGACTTATATTTACAACAGGTACGGAGCTCTGGAAGTGCCATCCGACTTGTTGAGATCCTGACATGTTTTTCTCAGGATGACGACATAATAAACGCAAGATGTCGACATCCTCAGATAATGACGATAATCAGTAGCTCAGGATGTCATCATCCAGAGACATCCACCAAGTGTGATGTTTGCTCAACAACTTGTAACAGGCGGTGTAACATAATCTAAATAATATCATGTATGGCAACAGGAGGACACTGCTTTGAAAACACTACCATGTCAGGCCATCTGTTTTCGAGGTGGTTTGTCAAAGCACCCATGACAAATAATGTCATCATATCACTTTTATGATGTCGTCATCCCAAATTAACTCAGGATGTCGTTATCCAACTTTTAGGATATCGTCATCCCATGATAAATTGTCGTGGGATGTTGTCATTTCCATTACAGGATATTCTAATCCTACGATAAAACATCTCATGGTGTCGCCATGTTGCCCGTAATATGTCATCATCCTGAGATAAAAATAATATGTCAGGATCTCGACAAATAGGATGGCACTTCCAGAGCTCCGTATACCAGCTATTTTTATGACTGTATAAAGGTATGAGCATAATGTAGGTTTAATGTATATATATCTTATTTTTGCAAATCTTGTGTTATTCTGCACAGAATGGTTTAGGCTCGAGATACCTGAAGCCACAAGCCCACGAGTGTTGGGTGAATTGTGAATTACTTTTGTATCGTACCAATGCACGCCATTTGAAGCAACACATTAACACTTGTATAATTGTGTAGCCTACATTGTAAAATGTATTTATTCATTTGCTGTCATGCGCAGATTTTTTTCACATGGATATGATTTCATCTGGGGATTTTGACCTCATGTAGCCTAAAGATAATCAGAAAAGCCAGGCGGTAGTGTCCGACGCGCCTTTTTTTCCTGGATCTCTTTACCTGGGGACGCACGTCCTCCACCCTGAAGGAACGACACCATTTCTCTTCCCCGTGCTCCCCCGAGGGAAACTACAACCGGGCGTCACCTGCGACCTTACATTAGGCCCATTATTGACCCTGACCAGACAAACACGGTATCGTCATGATAAAAGATCTGTAGTTATGTTATTGCTCAACAAGAAATACTTGTAAACATGACTCATTGTTTTCAGTATTTTCTCATGTGGGGCACCGCTTGGCGTCATTTTCAAGATCAAAGTTTTTTGCAGAAGGTTGCGCCAGACCTAGCCCACACGTAGGGCTGTGGATGGCTCTCTTTCGAAAAAAGATATCAATTCTATAGGGTCTTCCAACCCTTAGACTAGCCCCCCTCCACCAACAAAAGGGGGCGGTTACCCTCTCGCCAACGCCTGGGGTTTATGTTAGGAAATTAGCATAATGTTCCCACAATGCAGTGCAGAATCATTAAGCCGCTTATGCTGATGAAACATGTTTCTTTTCCTCCTTTAAGGATTACAAACTGGCTCATTATGCATTGCCGGTGCACAAATGAAGCATTGGTAATGTGGTGCCAAGGATGCATGACATTGTAGGCGCTTGTAGTAAGTTCTGAAGGGAGGGACAACATTTCCTTCGCTAATTAAGCTACATGAGGTCATTTAACATAAATTCATCCATGAGTTCATTTCACGCACAAGTTAACACATGGGGGTAATCTATTCTTGTGGCTTGCGACTGTAATCTGAACACAAGAATGGTCCGCAGGCTCTGGCCTGAAGCCTCTGAGCAGGCAAAATGTTGACGGAATCTCAGACAGAAGGTCTGAAGGTCCGGCGTGCGCTGGACACAGCGGGCTCGGCAAAACGAGCATGGAATGACGTATCCATGCACGGTATAAATAAGGCCCATTTAATCACTTTAAAACTACTGTGTAATTAAATCCAGAGACTAGACAAGGATTAACCAAAATGTCTTGGGGAAGCCCCAGCTAATTCAAGTACATTCACCATAAAAGAAACCAGAACTGTTTCCAACATAGGCGTAGAAACACATCTAAGTTTGAAAGTGATCGCATACGTTGCCATGCAACAATATACACGGGCGGCTCCCTACATTACAATATTGTTGTGCATAGGCCTCTGTAATTGCGGATCACCAAGTACCAATGATGTGCATATTTTGAAGGCAGATGCGATATGTTCTCTAAACAAGATGGAGGCAACATTATCAGCAGTCAGAAGGTGTTCTGCCATTTTGAAGAATGAAATGAAGTTAAGTGTTGTTATTGCAGTCGTGGTGTTGGCGATAGTGATAGACGAACGCATGGCGATCGGGTCGCCCGGGGGATGGTGTACCAAGATTACTGTGTACAAAGCACTCACTCACCGCACGCTGGTCGGTCATGCCGTCAGAGGCCTGTCTGGGGTTTCGCTGGTCCGGTGCGCGGTCCTGTGCTCGTGCTTGAAGGAAAAAGACTCCCCATGCTTGTCCTTCAATTACGGCAAGACCAACAGAACCTGCGAGCTTAATGATGCCAGGGTGGAAGAGTTCCCCGAAAGTTTGGTGGCAGAGAGCGGTTTCTCCTACTACGGTGCGGAAACGGGGCAGGTTAGTGTAAAATCGTCACCGTATTCAAGAAGAATCCAGCTTTCCAAAAAATCAACACCCTTTCAAAGTCCCGTTTTTTTAACCATTATCACGTGGATTCTTTTTGATCAATCTTTTCAAATTAGCTGAATCATCATGATCTCCGTAAATTGGGGGATGGGAGGCGGGGAAAGATGGGGGATGACATGAAAATTTGAAAAAAAAAATTTTTTTGGGGGGGACACAATATGACTCTATAGAGTTCGATCTACATGATATTAATATACATGACTGTGTAATATGTAGTCAGAGTGACATGGGTTTTTTAGGAAAAAAATTTCGCCATCCACTTCAATTTTTTTGCTCACCACAAAAAGTGGAAGATGATCCAATAGCCCATATCCTACCTTAAAAGTGTGTGTGGGGGATGTATACCCCCACTCTCCGGGATTTTCCCCATGTCCATGGGACCAAATTCAACTGCATCGCATGTTTAGTTTCACGAAGAGGCTAATTACGCACAGCAGATATACGAATTGTGAAGTCGTTTCTGCCCGTTTTAACAAAAAGGCAACTACAATGCACGGGTGACAATTTTGCATGTAGTGGCAACAGCCCGCTAGTCTCCAATACCGGAAAATATTAGATGAAGAAATAATCCTGAATTTCAGGTAATTAATTATCATTTATTGATAAGGTGAATAAAGGCAAATGCTCTTGCACCACATATTCAATAGTTCAGCTCAAAAATGATCAAGTTCAAACATGACTTAAGCGAAAGTTTACTTATACGCAACATCGAGAAATTCGCCTCTCTGTGACGAAATGCTCATCAAAGCATAAATGAGCGTATTTTCACGGTTTTCAAACGAACGATTGCACTAAGCACGATATAGATTGCAATTTTGCGTCACGGCAGTGACAAAATTGTACCAATCTAGAGTTCCCTTTACGCCTATGGTCTCCGCGAAAGACTGGCGACCTCGAAGAGCAATTACAACTCTCAGCAGCACCTTCGAATTAAATTATCTGTCTACGCAGACACATTTTGGCCGAACAAAACAGGCATCCATCTAGAATGGAACTGTTTCCGTCATTCACCTGCGCATCTAATTTCATTTCGTTATTCTGATCAGTGAAGACGCCATTTTAGAGCCAGCAGGAATGAGTCCGTAATGCAAGTATGAACCCAACACGGCAACTTTTCTTGCTTCATTCTTGCAAATTTTGTTTTAAACGTGTTCTCCCTTGTTTTAAATATGTTAACAACCTGAAATTTGTTTACAGTTACAACCTGAAATTGCACCTTACTACCGTAGTCATTAATGGATTTCTGAGCTCTATTACGCGATCTGATAAGACCTAGGAAAAATGCAAGCATGTGTAGCTTGTTAGTTTTTAGGCACGACACAAAAGAATGTGTGGCTGTTGAGTTCTTTAGTTTGGGGTGGTCGCCATTGTATTTAAATCTCAAATAATCGTCTGTGGTTTCTCTGTTCAAGGATTCATCGAAACAGACCAATTGGAAAAGAAACTTGAGAATTTACAGTTGTTTAATTAGTTTGTTGCGGCACGGTGTCGCTAGAAGTAAGTTGCAGCATTAACGTTTTTTTTTACTTTTTGTCGCATTTGGTCTTGTGAAACAACCATATAAAATGCAGGTGCCCTCAAAAACAGCAACACCTTAAAGATAGTTAAAGTGCCAAAGACAGAAGCTAACTAAACCTTATGCCTCATCCAGCTATTTTCTACGAATCAAATTTTCAGCCACAAATCCTATTTAAAAACATTCCAAACGGTCAACGCGACCTGACGACGCCCTGATCGGGTTTCGAATGTGTGTGTGTTTTTTTAGGCAAACTCCAAGTGCCTGGGACTTGATTCAAAACCAGCATTAGGTAAGACGTTTTCAACTGCTTCCCTGTTTTGTGTCACTTCTAGTTCTTTCAGTTCCTGTCGTGTTTGATTGTGTAATGTTTATGCTGAATTGTTGATGGAAACAAAAAATCTAGATTGTTGTGGTGTCTGATGTATCATACAAAACCCTGGAACGGTAACATTTACTTTGGAAGTCGTCATCCTATTCTTCCTCTGATGTCCTCATGACGTCAGCAGATTTTTCCCTCTTAATGCTTATTTACCAAATATTTTAGTGACACCACCATGACATTATCCAGTGATTTTCTTTCACAGGCATTTACTCTGAAGACTCTGTAAAGATTTTTTTGGCTCGATTTCGACCCAGGTGTTACAGGTCGTAGGATAACGTCGTGGTGAAATCCTCATATGCTTTTTTTTATAAGTCTGACATTCTTTTCTACATACCTTCTTAGCAAAGCTATATTTCCATTTTCTTTTTGGTAAGACATGCACTAGTACCTGCAGAAATCCATGTTACTGGTAAAGTGGAAAATATTATGGTTTTATCATAATGTCATCAAAAAGAGCTGATCACCAGTAAAATCAACTACATTTAGAAAAGCTGCTCGGTTGACTTTTGAAATGGTGGTTTTAGTAATCAAAGCCGTAAAATTGTGGTGCATATTGCTGTCTGTTTGCATTGGATTGCATGCGTCCACTTTTTGTTTTCGAAATGAATACATTACATTGAAACTATAAATGTTATTTATTGTGAGACTTAATTCTGGTCATTCGAATGCGACGTTTTCCTTGGTATTTTCTTTTATTTGGTTTTCCAACATTCTATCAGATCTACAATAAAGTGACTGAAATACTTCTGTAGCTGTTTAGAGTTGGATCAGAACAGCTGCGCATAAATTAAAAAGGATTGCTTCAATTTCCTACTGGCTATTAAGAGTGTTAACCATCTGCTAATTTTGATATTCTGATTTTAAAGAACTTAAAATCCCTTTGTTCAATTCTGTAATTGACGTTGCCAACTCCTATGAGCTCAGTTTGAACTTATTTTGAAAATCATTTGAAAAAAGCAAGATGGGGGGAGGTAATTGGTGAAAGGTACTCACTTTTACATAAAACTGCAATATTCATCATTTATACCTCAAAGACCCTGGATGGCAAATCGTGTTTAAAGGCGTAGCACGAGCAGGTGTAAAGTTGTATGACATGTGGACTGCCGTGTCGTGGGAGGCAAGCATGATGGAGGCCGGTAGGAACTTCCGAGATGAATTTTTGCACAAGGCCTGGAGGAGCGGAAACCTGACCGTGAGGCGGGTTAGTATGCACATTTCGCCTGAATTGGTCCCGGTTCCTGGACTTGGGCCTGACCTTGGCCGTGCCTGAGCCGGTTTTGCTAGACTCCAAACGTATAGAATTTGGTGCAAAAGCGTAAACAGAAAGAAGCTGAACTGAATGGACGAGAACGCTACCAAAGTCTTACTTTTGTTTCTTTTGTTTCGTTTGTGTTCTGCTAGGCCACTCCAGCCTGCCTGGCTCGGTTGTAATGTAGAGATTTACCACAAATGGCGCACCGCAAATTGCTAAAGTAAACCTACACTGTAAACCCAAGCGTTTAACTTCTAAGAGCAAATCAAACACAAATCTGTGACAGCTCTTATACATTTTGACTCGTTTGTAAATAAACACATACAATATGTTAATATGCTGAACATACTATTTTATTTAATAAACGCAACGTATGTTTATGGTTAATTATAAACCTTCTAATTATAAACCCGTTTTAGTGTTTATTAAGTAAACGCCTAAACATGCGTATAGGCTGCAACACTCTTTTAACACTTCGGCACGCTTATAAAGGGTGCGGTGTTTATTAACAACATTATCGGGTAACGACGACATACACGTGTTCAAGTCACTTGCAGTAACGTGAAGAGTCTCATGTCAACTGCTACTTAACTTAACGCGGGAATACTGAAAAAATGATTGAAATACTGTTGACAGACCTTAATTCTTTTAAAGAACGAAACGAATAAACGAACCTGTGTAAGAAACGAATAAATGCAACTCTGAACTGGCCGACTGCTCTACATTTTACAACTAACAACAGCCTGCAGGCGTATATACTGAGGACGCGGAAAGAGATCAAAGTGCGCATGCACGTGCGTGTACATACAGCGCATGCACTCTTCGTTCATATTATATCAACTTCAATGAACCACCTACAACATGAGATTTGAATTTCATCGGCATTGGCGGATAACAACGAATTCACGTTTGAAGCCGCTATAAACAGGCGTTTAGTGTCCTGATGATAAACACTTTATATTTCAAACACGTTCACGTCTCATAACCGTACCGCGAATTCAAATGTGTAACGTGTAGTTTATAAACGCGTCAAACGTTCTAGGGTTTTACAGTGTATGACCTGACAAGGCGAGCTCCATTGGTAGCATGTCTTCCCTTCTAATTTTATCTCGCCAAAAGGTGAAGCTCTCTCTGTGCGATTTCAATGGGTCTAGAGTTGAGTTGATTTTCAACGGAACCGGATCAGACATCCTCAACTGGTTCACCAAGGACCGTCTCCTCTCAAGTCCGTGGGAGGACCTGAGATCCACTCTGGTCAACTTCTTCAGCATCGAAGGGGACACTGTAACGTGAGTATGGAAACCAATGTCTCTCTTATTCAGACGGCGTAATGTTGGTTAGTCGCTTCATTTACTGCCAGCACGTCAGTGAAGTTTCAGAACATCACAATACCGGCCAGTCAAATGAGGCGCATTTGTCACAATTCGTTTGAATCGGATTGTGACTCAACTTGCGACATATAATGTAATTACTTGCGATTTAACGATGTGCAATGCATCATGATGCCTGATTATGAATCGTACCCACTTGAAGATTTAAGGAAATTTCTACTTTTGAAGACAAAAAGGGTTAAAGGGCTGACAATGGGGGGGGGGTATCAAATGCCCCCCCCCATTGTAAAAGGGATTCCCCCCTTTTTTTCTGAGCTCAACAGCCTTCCATCGTGCTGGGGACATGCACCAAGGATTAAAAATAGTGGAAGCGTTCGACTGGTCCCCCGCTGTCCATTAGATACAAAATAAAAAGGAACGAGTGGCGGTCTGATCCTCAATGAGGATCATAACTCCCCAAGTGACGGGCTAAAGCGTGCGATCATCTTGCCATTTTGCCGGCAAAAGGGTATAAGAAATACACTCTCTTTATTTAGAAAAAAAAACTGCATGAATTTACTCCAAAATCACCACTGGCTGTGCAAAAAGCAACCTTTTGAATAACTTATTGAACGACTTGGGAAATACGTTTGAAAACTTTTTGCAAAGAAATCTTTATATTTTATTTAAACAAAACAGTTGCATGGATAGGCGTACTTCCTTTTGCCTGGAAAAGTTTTTAATGCTTCCTGGCTAAAGGGTGTAAGCGCTTACGTCCAGGCACAACTGTACAGAATACCGAGGTTTGTGTGTGGACTCGAATTTGTTACCTGATAACCTTTCTCTTCAAGTGTGCGCTGACCCTATCTAACGCATTTGGCACTCTCATGGCAGATACAATGTATTTTGTTCCTAATTCACTAAGGGTGAATGTGCACTAATTCAAGCGTTACTTTCTCCGAGCTCATTAGCATAAAAAATGGCGTTGCAGTTTCTTTTGAAAAGGGGGCTGTATCGCCGAAAAAAAAGAAGGAATTGTGGAAATATCGGCCAAGATCAACTCCTTGCTTGGGTTTGGGGGCTGCCGTCCGAGGGCAGAGCTGATTAGTGGATGACAAACACTCCTCAGTGCCCGCGAAAGTAGATGGATGCCATTTGGAAAGTGGCCGCGGGTTTGGAAGCTATCTGGGTGACTTTATTTTGTGTAAATGAAAATGTAATTCCTTTTGTTTTATAAACACCAGTAATGTCGATTTGAGCCCTGAACTTAGTTGATTTTATACGGCTTGAACTAGTGCACTGCACCCTTCACGCATGTCGGCTAGTAGACGGCTTTCGATATTTTTGTGTGTTCTAGCCCGTATTGTTGCGAGAACAGCTGCAACCAAGATGTTCTATCGTTTACCAGTGATGATCACTATTTCCTTTCCTTTTCCTTCACGAAGAGGCCGGCGGTTCTTCATTAACAACTATTATGGGGGTTGTCTAGGGGACCGTGGCTGGTTGATCGTGGTGGATTCCATGACAAGTGGATGTAATTGGGAGCGACCTCCGGCCTACCCTGTCATATTGTACAGCAAAGCAGCTGGTTATGTAAGTTGGGAGGACGTGGTGACTGAAGGTGAGCTTGCACGTGGCAATTTTTCTATATTTCTTAATTTTTGTCTATAAGTCTATGGAGGCGTTGCCCGTGTCCAAATCACACAGCTACGGCTGGAAATGATACACACACTAATGAAGCCCGTAAAGCCACCAGCTAGCGGCTTTAAGAATTGCCCCTGAACATCCACATTGTTTCCTGGCTGCCTAAAAATGGAACTGCGTTTGCTCCGGATACAAAAAATTGACTTTCATGAAATCGTGGTCTCTTTTCTTTGTATCCATACATCCCGGGTTTCCAGCCTCCTATATGTGACGTAACTGGGGAATATTTTACATGGGGGTGGGTACCTGTAACCCTAATCTTTTTTTTTTGGGGGGGGTGCACTCAATGATTAATTAAAACACTGACCAAGGCAAACAACCCCCAAATTGTTTCCCGTGCTAATGTCTGAACCGGGGGTCGCATACAATTTGGGCAAAGGCTCTGAGGGTTGGGGTGGAGCTGGTTGCAACCTCGTCCCCCCAGTAACGCCTTCTACCTCCAATATTGCTCACAATACATGTAGCTGTCACTGTTCTGTGCTCCACGTCATTCAAAACACCGCATTATACAATCCCATCTGAGTCGTATGGATGGACAACTTTCCGATAAACTTGTATTCGGTGACACTTGATTGCTTCAGTGCCCTTGTGTATTCAAACGAACTACAAAGTACCTTATTTCAGGATACCTTTATGAGGAGTATTTCGACTCTCAAAATGCTTCCTTTGAATTCTGCAGAGTGGAAAGGTCACACATGTTGATTGCCATAATCGCATTTTTGCTGAACAGGTGCCAATACCGTTGGATGTGCGGACTACTTGACTATACACATCGATGCCGAGTAGGAATTTCAAAGGTGAATGGCGTTTACGATGCGAAAACACGCAATTGCTCTAAATATTTTGGCTGGTAATGTTTATGTTGGTGGATTAGAAAATGTCCCCGAATGTCTCATAGAACGTAAAAACAGCTTTCCAGAAAAATGATTTGAAAATAGCTCGCACAAGAAAATTTGAAAAAGCATAAAAATGTTTCAGTCATCACTGACAATCATTACGAGACACCGTATTGAAGTATAGGGACGTCGTGTTATATTGCGCATACAAAGTAAAGGATCAATGTTTGAAGACTCTTTATGAAGTCAACTACATTAATTCTTTGCAAACAAACCAGGCTTAGGTTACAAATGACAAAGTACAGTGAACAAAATATGCCATGTTTGGGAATGCCGATTAAAGATGGGGTATGGGTAAAGCCATGGTTAACTCAAACGACGCTCGTGTATAATGCCAAATGTTAGGTTTGCATTTAACTGTCAACGTTCTAATTATTATATTTTACTATATTAGCGACACTTCACCTCAGTGTATAAGTTATAATTGTCGTAAGTGTGCTTTAATGTCACTAGTATATAAATACAGTATTCGATGAAAGTAATTAATTGCTCTTTTGAAACATATTACTGTTACGTGAATTAATTGCACAGACCATCATCAGTAAAGTATTTTTAATGGCACCAAATTAATAGCGATTAAAAGTAGCTGCAGATTAATGAAGCCTTTATTCATGAATTTGAACACCTTTTGTGTAGATATACCTTACTGGAAGAACAAAGCACTCACAGACCTCATGAAGACTTAGTTTTCGTTAACAACAGTATGTATAGGTTTCGAAGAGTGTTTATTCAGTTTACAATGAGGCCTGTGACTCATGAAATTGGCCACACCAGAAGTTCTTATGTTTATTGGCGAATTTGTTTTGGCCCGATTTGGATCCACTCCGGATTGAGCCATGAAGGTCATCGGAGCGGATCGCTTTGAGCTAAGGCTATCGGATTTGGATCGGATTCGGTTATCTGCTTGCAGCTGTCTATTGGAGATTGAGCTTCCAATCCGACGCACAGCTTCAGATTTCACCGTATGGGAAAAATAGCCACCCAGTTTTGCGCTCTGCGACGCGACGGTCGTTCGACTACACGTGCCACGGTGTCGACTTTGCACGCGCAACCGCAAAGAAATCCACCATTAAATAAATGGTCACCGTACAAGGACCTGTTTTTCTACTTGTCTCCACGAAGAGACCACCGGTTGTTCATCAACCGCGCAATTATCGTGACTGTCCAAATGACACTGGCTGGCTTGCTGTGGTTGAGTCCAGGGTCGGCACTGACTGTGAATGGGAGCGATCTTTGGCCTACCGTATCATACTGTAGAGTACATCAACTGCCAGATAATGTTGGCACGACGTGCTAACCACAGGTGAGCTTAAATGAACCCATGCATGCCCGCTGAGTCTACTGAGACATTAACCGTGTGCAAATTACACGACTGGGGCTGCAAATGACACGCGCACCCGTGGAAGCCGTCGGCTGACGACTTTAAGTATTTTCCATAAACTTGTGCATATCATTTCCGGCCATGGCTGAGAAATTCGGTTCTAGCCTTTTCTGGGATATGGAATTCTGACTGTCAGAAATTTAGTTTCTTTTCCTTGGAAATATGTGGATTTGCACTGTCCTGTGACTTAAGACATGGCCCGTCACCGTTAAGAAGCCCGTGTTTCACAGAGTCCTACATTTACTACACCGCGTGCGTTTCCAGTGAAACACAAAAGCGTCGGCGGCGAGGGCGGCATTGGCGCTGTTTATGGCAACTTTTTAGAATTTAGGGAAAACCCATTCCAGCCAGTCTTTACGGAAATACACCAATTAGGCCTCACACGGGTTAATTTTAAGATAAATTCAGGGGAAGTGTTTTTGCCAACCAAATTCTCAGTTCAAATTCTGGATACTAGAAAGGTTTAACATATTCTGTCATTATCGCTCAGTGTTGACGGATATCAGTACAGTCGGACGTGCAGATTATTTGACTATACACATCGATGCCGAGTTAAGGTATTCATTCATATCAAATGCGGACCAAACCAGTATGGTTCTACATTTTGGGGCCTAATTAAGCTGTAGGATTAGAAAAATGTTTGAGAATGTGTCGTGGAGCGTAGAAAAAGCTTTCCAAAAAAAAGGAAAAAAAACATGCCAAAATAGCCCCAACGAGGAAAACTGAAAAAGCTTCTCGGCCTTGACGATAATTACCGGATATGGCAACGACAGTACTCAGTGCGCTGTATGGAAGCACAGGGACATTGTTTGAAGATTAATCTTTGACGACACTTCATGAAACCAGGAACAGCTAATTGGCTTAGGTTTCGAATGATGAACTACGGTGGACGAAATGTTCCATACATTCTATTAAAGCGGTGATATCTCATTACAAAATAATAGCACAACTGTTTTAAGTGTGTTTTCATAATAAATACTCATTAAATAATGATAAATTTCCCCTTCTGTACTATAGCCTATTTTGCAATGATGTGGTTAAGGGAGGAGTTGTGTTCTTTGTTTTATTTGCGTATTTTGTTCAGCAAAACAGGTAATCTAAAATAAAAAAAACTAATATTAGTCGGAAATTGCTGAAAGCAAAAATCGACGAAAAAATGCGCCCATTTGTTAATTGGAAGTAGCTAAAAACTTTATCAGAAACCAAAAAACTATTTTCAAAAACTGATTTGGCTTAAAGGAGCAACAAATCTCAGGGCAAACTTTAAAGCCTTTCGGCAAAAGTGCAGGAAAACAAATAATCTGTGAATAATCCCTACGCAGTGTTGTTTTGAGGTAAAAAAAACCTAACCCCCCAAAAAAATAAAACCAAAAACTTGATTAACCCAACCCAGCCTAAACAACAAGCCCAACCCAATCCAGCGCAACCAACCCAGCAAACGAAGGTTAATGGATCATTGGCATCCTAATAAGTTTAATTAATCCGCCAAATTTCCTTATTTCAATTCTGCAATACTGTCCTGGCGCCAACGAATTTTTATTGCACTTATAGTCAGACACAAACATTCGATTTCTGCATCGTCAACACGACATGGCAGCCCTTGTCGTAGTATTCCAAACTTTACGCGGGCGTTCTATTTCACCCCATTTCAAGAAACATATGTTCCTGCAAACCTGAAAGTATACACGTACTTAATGCTCTTCCTCTTGCACCACACCATAGCATGAACATCATGTTCTACGTGATTGAAGCTTTTAAACTGACATTTACTTGGACGATGCCGTCCTTGGGTTAGGTCGTGCCTTCATAATGTGAATCCTTCTTACCCGTTGCACGCATGAGCTTCACTCATTAAATCTCCAGCATTAATATTAGCTTCGTTGCGATCTTACTCTTCCAGATTTGTTTGGTTGTTTGTTTGTGTTGGTTTACTTTCGTGCTTCAGTTCCATTTGTGTTAATGTTTTCCCGTGATTTACCACCGACAGCCCATGGTTAAGAGTTAAATAAGAAGAATGTTCTTAATTTTAGGGGACGAAAAAAAACAGGGCAATAGCTGGGAATGGAGCCCAGCTTCGAGAGTGTTGTGAATTTGCACAATATGCGTGCCACCCACTAC